TATTATATATATATTATGTCCATTACTAATGGTTGTCTGTGTTGTTGTTGCTTGTGTTTTTGTTCTTCATTTGTAAGCATTTCCAGAAGGAGCAAATCGCAAATCGTGTTTGCATAGTAGCAGCGTGGGTTCGTCATCATCATCCAACACGTCTCCCTCAGGCTCACCTTCACGCAGTTCGGGCGCTGAACGCGTCCATGTTTATCAAAGCACATCACCGTTACAACCTGCCTTGAAACAAGCTACAACGAAAAAGGTATCTTTTTTGGACGAGAAAATACAGCTTTATTTCTGCGATATAATAAGCAATGGATGCCTACTGCTGCGAGCTTTTATTCATTATCGTTCTATTCTATATGGCGGTGTTCGTACTGAAATAATTTTTCTCTGTTGAAGTTTTCATTGCAAAGCCATGCTGTCCTAAGATTTATGCCGGATTGTCACTTCTTCAAAATGGATGTTAAATTTTAGGATTTATGCAGAAGTCAGCGATCGATGTCCCTTGGAAGTGCTGCCCATGAATCACTTCTAGCAGCAGTAGCTTCATCTTCACAAGGTCCTAAGCATACTGTTGACATGAGTCATGCAGAAAATGGTAATTTCGCGTTTAATAGAAATTCATTGTGAGAAAAAACTCCAAATGAAATAATTAGGGGATGGATTTGAAAGTTATCAAATTACAGACATAAATAAGATTTGATACTTAGTTTAGTGAATAATTAAGTGGTCCTCGTAAACTTTATTTAAATTTTCATTATAGCTTAATTTTGAATTTAGGAGACAAAGTGGTATTACTTGTCGAAAATACAAGATTTGTGGTTGATCCGGCTGTGCTGATTGCCAAACCGGATACTATGCTTGGACGAATGTTTACTGTACGTGCGCAACGTCAAGATGGTGTTGAACTTGTACGACCCAATGATCAAAACGAATATGAAGTAGCTGATGGACTTTCTGCTTCCTGCTTTCGTGCAATTTTAGTTCGTTTTGTAATATATTGGGTTTTTTTGAATGGGGTAGTTTGAGTATGAGTTCAATATCTTTTTACTGCCTTCCTCTTTTTTGATTGAAGATTTTTAGGAGTACTATCACATTGGGAAAATGCGCTGTCCACCGTCAGTGTCAGTTTCGGAACTACGTGAAGCTTGTGATTATCTGCTAGTACCATTTAATGCCCGTACCGTACAATGCCACAATCTCCGCTCATTTTTGCATGAATTAAGTAATGAAGGTGCTAGACAACAGTTTACTGCCTTTCTCGAAGAAACTATTTTGCCACAAATGATTGTTAGTACTGAGGTAAATATTCTCAATTATGGAAAAAATAGATAAGAAAAACACGGCTTTGTCTGCAAACTGGAAATTCTTGTTATATATATACATATAACAATTGATAGGTTCAACATGAAAAATATATATGGATTGATAGGTTCTACATGACAAATCTTCAATAACGTTGTAAAACCCTGATTGCTAATCAAATTTTAGTAAATTTTACTATTTAGCATGGAGATCGTGAATGTCATATCGTAGTACTACTGGACGATGATGTAGTTGATTGGGATGAACTTTATCCTCCACAGATGGGTGAAGACACGACGCAAGTTGTTTACAGCACTCATCTTTATCGTTTTTTCAAATATGCCGAAAATCGCGATGTAGCGAAACAAGTAAGATGATAATGCACTTGTGAGTAAAATAGATAATAAGTTGTATTTGTTTCTTAAATTCGACACTGTTTTACTTCACCCCCTAAGCTCCTAATTTTCTTTTTTATGACTTCTATATTAAATGCTCTCTTCACTGCTCTCGGTAAAATCTAGAGATTTTTATTATACTGCAAAGAAGTTTTTGAAACATTTATACATTTTCATGGCATTATTCTATAAAATTTATTCGATTCCTTAAATCAGATGATGATTTCCCATATTTTTAGGTTCTGAAGGAGCGCGGGCTGAAGAAGATTCGGCTTGGTATGGAAGGATATCCAACCCATAAAGAGAAGATAAAACGGCGTTTTAATAAAGCTGAAGGTATTTTAAAAGTTTTCCTGTATGAAATGTCGAATTTGATGGAATGTGGAAAGTGGGATTTTATTATTATCATTATCGAAATAAAAAATAATTATCTCATATTTATTTTTTAGTAATTTACAATTACGTCCAGCGGCCATTTGTTCATTGTTCATGGGAAAAAGAAGAAGCACGTTCGCGTCATGTTGATTTTGCATGTCCTATCGTAAAAAGCAAATCCAATCCAAGTTTAGCAAGTGCCGCAAGTGATCCTATCCCACAAGTGAGTAAGGGGTCCCTTATTTATTTTACATTTTAAATCATTATAAGAATGAAACTAATTAAATAAACTTGAATTCAAACAGTTAAGAGTCTTTTTACATTGAATTATTTTCCGAATTATAATATTCAGAAAAAATTTAATTATGCATTAGTTCACTTCCAGTATATCATCGAATTATGGTTAATACATTCTACTGTCCAACGTAAGAAATTATCTCTGTTGGAAGCTTAAAATATCCATGTTTTGATTTTTTCAATTTCTTAGTGATTTCGATAACATCCATGCGAGTTACAATTTTAGCCAGCACCTTTGCAACTTAATGTAGCAACTGCTGCATCTACATCGAGTGGCGTTGGAAATGCGCCATTTAATTTGCCAATTGTGCAGCATTCAATATTTCATGGTGCTAGCGTTTCACATTTTGGACATCACTTGACTGACCAGGTTTGTAAATTTTCGAAAATTCTAGCACTTGAAGGGCGAATCTTTCCTTCTCTCTTTATTGCATTCATTACAAATTTTCCTGGATTTTCATTTATTTTATGCACATTCTTATTCATTGCTTATTGATGTCTCCTAAAAAATGTAAACGTAATATTTTGTTACAGTGGAATATGGAAGGGATTATATTGAAATATAAAATGACATGTGACATTTCATCTATATTGTACATTAATTGTAAAGCTGTTTTGTCATCTTCGATTAAATAAAAATTCATGATGCTAATTCTTCACACTACTAATTCTTAATCAATATTTGCAGAATTTACATCCACTTCATTCACCACCAATACAGAATGTTAGGTCAACTTCGGGAACAGTGGGAGCAGAAAGTTCCCAAACCCCTTCATCAAGTGGTTCGAATCATGCTATGACAGCTGATGGAAAATGCTAGTTTGTTCACTCATGTTTTTGTTATTTTTCTTTCCCCTATCATTTATTCTTATCTGATGCTTTCCGGTATATTGTTTAAAAGGAGTTACAGCTATGTAAACAGATAATGCTGAACCATACTAGATATTATTAACTAAAAAAAGAGTGGTTATAAAAAAATATGTGAAATCAAGGTGGCTTTTTTTCTGAGCAACTTACCCACTTTGTGTGTTGAAGATTCTGCTTCTTGATGTAAGCATTTCGTCATAATCTACTGAAGTGTAAAATGTGGTGTAACGGGAGCTTAGGCTCTATGGTACCTCTGTTATCAAGCAACAATACATGTTATTGAGCAAATGGAGCATACTGCGACTCTAAATTACCGCTCTTTGAATTTAGTGGGCAAATGAAACTAATTAATTGAACGAATGAAGATCTCTAAAGAAAGTAAAGGAATTGCAGGGGTAATTTTTACGTATTGTAGCTGATCTTAAGTACAATTTATTAAAACCTAGAAATTATCAGTTTACAGAAGTACTTCTTATTTCGGTTCTTGATGTTATTGGTTGAATTTTGCAGATTTCCCTTTTCAGTTTATGGATCACTTTTCTTTAAAATTTTAAGTTGAATTGCTTTAATTTAGTAATTTGAACTTGCATATTAATATAATGTTTTCGTAACTTCTTATTGCATATTATTCATGTTCATTCGAATTTTCCCAAAACCACTACATTTTACCCTCATCCCATCTCTTTTGTTCATCAATAACAAAATAGATGCTAGGGACGAAATCCTGCGATTGACTATAGCTGCATATTCAAGAAATGAAGTCGCAAAATGGACTGACTGGAAAAGCAGCTAATCAGCTGAGGAGAGGTGGAAATCGGGAAAGCAAATAAAAACAGTAAGAAAGATAAAGAGGATAAGAATTTTAGCCTTTTAGTCAGAGGAATGGGTTTTGGATATGACCTTTTACTCTATTTATTCTATCAACAGTTTCAAAGTTGCATTTTCTTCATTTACAGATAGTAAAATATTGCCTTATGATGAATCTGTGCTTTCTTCTTTCTATATCTATCTTTATGCTAATCATATGATTGATTTCTTTTACATTTCCGTGACTCACGCACACACGCACACGCAGATACATACAAACATATATACACACACTAGCTATATTTTTTTTCACGTCAAACTTTCTATCATTTATTGCTATTGTTCTTGCTCGTTCCTCGTTTGTGATATGAACAAAGCAAACAGTAAAGCTTTTTTTTCAATGACTTCTATTTAATGTGCTGCAAAGGATTTACAAACCATTCGGTAACAGAAGTTGAATATGTGTTATTTTTAGAACATTAAAATGTTTGAGATCTTCAAGCTAATTCTTTAATGGTAACATGATTTAATACAGGACGGTATAATATCACAATGTCTTATTTCTAATTAAATATCAAATAAGAGTTTTGAGAACTAACTTTTCTCTAGTTTTCTGTTATATGATATTTCAATCCTAAATGTCACCATCTCCATGATATATGCATTAAGTGTATTTTCGTGGAATTTTATTGAAAACCATAAAATTGTTTGTGTAACTTTGATACGTCAGAAATTCTCAAAAGAGAGATCGTCATTTCATAATATAGTTGAGGGGAGAGATGGAAGTTCGGGAGGTAATGTTGCTAGTTTGGTTGGTAATTGGAAAATTTTGAGAGGGATGGAACCTAATGATTTATTTTAATTATGAACTTTTTTCAAAAAAAAAAAAAAACAAATCAAGATGATATTGAATTTTCTTGGAGAAATTACGAAAAAAAGAATAAAATTCATTTCTTATTAATCCATCCGTGTATGTCCTTGTGTGATACGAATGCGCTTCTCGAGGCGTTTCTCCCAATGACAATCGCGGTCGTATGGCAAGTCATCGATAATGTAATGCTCACCGTTCGGTAATGGTTGCTTGCATGCAGCGCACGTGAAACAACGTGGATGCCAATGCTTATCAAGTGCAATCAAGCAAGAATCGATAAGTATCTCACCGCAACCTGCATTGGGAAATATATGTTAATCCAAATTTATTCCCTTTTCATTTTTTAATGCATTTAAAAAGTTGTAAATAAATAGAAAAAAGTTTTGGTAGTTCAAGTGGTATTGGGCTCAAATGAAAATGCAAATGCAAAGAAGTCTCTTTCATAGTACAACTATGTTATTCTTGTCTACTTAGCGATGTCATTGAACTTATTGATTTTATGTTAAAATAATTGAAAAAGGAGAGAAAGGAAGGAAAAGGTTTGCATGGAAAATAATCCAACATGCTTCATTTAAATAAGAAATGTCCCCTTTGAATCAAATGCTAATTGTCAACATTGTTTCTGATAGATGGAAAAATCATCGCGAAAATTCATGATAAATGTAATAAGTGTGAAAATTCCTCATTTTTCCCTGATAGTGATAAGAATTAATCTTAAAAAGAAGGGACGAAGAACCATTTATTTGCTTAACAAATGTTTTATTATTTTTGAAATTGAAGAAGGGGGAAACTATCTGATTAAAGTTTATGATAATTCTTGAAATTGAAAGAAAACTTTAAAAAAAGCGTTGTAATTAAGGATTACTGTAATAGTTTTATTAATAAATAATAATTAGTAATTAATCTCTTTTCTCTTATTTTTTTTTCATTATTTTGTGTGTTTTCATTATGTATTTATGATTATTTAACAAATAATAACCTAAAATGATATGAAAAGAAAGGAAAAACTATTAACTGACCATGACATTTTGGATTATATTTCTTAGAAAAACATTGCACACAATATGGCATACCATCTGCAATCTAAAAACTTTCTCATTTTTATCCATGATTAATTTAAATTATCAAAGACATATTAATTCTGAATTTCCAAATTCAAAATAAAATTATTACATTGTAAAAATTTGTACCGTTAATTACCCCGGAATATCTCAGCTATCTCATTCTTAAACTTATAGTATTATTAATTTCATTGCAGTTGTTATTTTATCTAAATATGGGAGGTAGGAAAATTAAAAAATATTTTTTAATGATATACATGAAATTACTTTGAAATAAAGATTGTCATATTGTCATTACTAGTTCAAAGTTTAATAATTATATTTTGAGAAGATTTTATGATATTCGGAAAAAAATTACCAATTGAAATCATGATATTCAATAAAGATAACTAGTTCAAATTACCGTTTCAAAAAATGATTACAAATTATGATATCGGAAGATGATCATACCCTTTCTAATCATGAAATCTATAGGGGATTACATGTTCAAATTATAATGTTAATCTAGGGGAAAAAAAGATTACCTGATATGTTTGCTTAATTGGTGCATTACAAGCATGGCAACGGAAATGGTCAGGATGCCAAAGGCGATTTAATGCAATTACAGCTTCTTCACCTAATGATGTATTGCAGAGGGCACACATTCGACGATCACCTTCTGGCTGTGGAATATATCCAATTCCATGGCTTATTGTTGAATCACCCATCTTAGCTTGAAAGTTGACCGCTCAGTATGAAAACATTTAATTCTTTTATTATTTTAAATTTATTTTATACGTTTAACAAAAAGAAAAGTTGTTAAAACATGCAAATTTTTAAGTTATTCTCATTTTTCCTTTCATTTGCTTACAAAATATAACTACACATTTCATTTAGAAAAGATTTCCATCTTTTCTAAATTGTTCAAATTTTGTTCAATTGTTCTAAATTGTTCAAAGTTTAATAGTTCAAAGTTTTCTAAAAGAAAACTTTGAACTATTAAAAATTTTCAACACTTGTGATATTCACTCACATATCTCATAAATGAGCATATATCTATTTATGTTTCATGTAGATTTCATTTAAGAAATCAAATTTATTATAACATAATGGTGTTAAAACAAAGTATGATATTTAAAGTTTACTTTGACAAATACATTATGTATAATTCGATGTGTACAATTAATAAAGACATATGACAATTGCTATTTTCAATTGATCGTTGAAATTGTTTTCATTTTTCGTCCTGCAAAAAAAAAGAAAATTATGGTTTTCAATGAATAATTAGTATTAAGTGTAAATAATTTTGGCTAATAATTAATTACTATTAAATTTCTTATACAATAGACTGGTTGATATTAAAATGAAATTTGAGTAATAGTTTATAATTTTATGGCAAAAATTATTACTATAATTCAAAGATGCTAAAATTTCAAAATTTGAACTATAATTTTATACCTTATATTTTTTCGTGTATGCATCGTAATCATCGATAAATTCAAGTAAACGTTGTGACATATCAATGAGATTAAATTCTTGAAAGAGTTGAAGTAATAAGCGATTCAGCAAAATGTATTGCTGTAATTTCCAATTATTTAATAAATTATTTTCAACTACTTGATAAAATTTCAACATTTGAATATTTTTCACATTATTCGTAATGATTTTAAGTTTCCCAAAAAATTAAGATTATAAATTTTTTTTTAGGGTTTTGCTTTTCAAACTTTCTCCGGAAATTAATATCATAAAATTCATATTATCATAAGGACTAATTGGCATTGCTAATTAAATTGCTACTAATGAAATGACTTATTTCATGATAATTTTCAGCAAAATGCAAAAAAAGGAATAAATAAATCGGAAAATTAAACTTTTCCTTTTTTTCTCTACCATAACTCTTTCCTTTTCCTGTTTGCTTCTTTTATTTATGAAATTTCTTCAAATTTCTCTTATTTTTAAATTCATTCGTGGTGTAAACATTATACTTGTGAATTCAATCTCAAATATTTTGCAAACTTTAATCTCAAAATTATATTAGCATCAAAAATTATAAACAAACGGAAGAAGTGCTTATAGCCATAGCGCGTTGATTACGAATTTCCTTTACCACTTCCGCGAGATCAGCGCAATTTTCACCTCGTTCCAGTTTTTGCAATACATATTCGATAGCTACGAATACACCACTTCGGCCAACACCTATTCAAATATTTACTTTCTACAAAATAAAATTATCATTTAATTTGTACAGCATGATTAGTTTATTAGAACAAAAAATAATGCACTGATTTATCTATTCAGGTTGAAAATTCTTAGAAGTAGCAATGTTATGATATCTTTCATCAATACAATACATTTTATAACGAGAAAAAAATTTTTTCCCCTTTCAAAATCTAATTATAAGAAAAATCATGGAAAACACCATCAGAACAATGCACAACGATCGGCTTTTTGGAATTTCGAATTGCACATATCAAATTGAAAATAGTAAGTGATGAATCCGGAAAACCCCTTTCAGGCCAATTCTTCCAATTGTAATGTTTTACTACATATTGTTTTTTACCAACTTCATTGATTGCCAGTTTAGTAATTGTTATATCTGGTTCCTCCTTTATTTCATCCGCCTGAAGTAATTGTTATATTTGATTCCTCCTTTATTTCATCCGCCTCTATTTTTATGGAAGGAATTATTTAAAGATTAAAATCTCTGATACGTCCTGACAATAAATAAAAGCAAAATTTAAAAATGCCAACAAAATACTATGAGATACCATAAAGACAGAAATTGAGCGATAAAATGAGATAATCCTAATAATATTTTAAAATTTTATACCTGCAAATAACTACATAATTAATTAACGTAATTTTTAGAATTTTGTTTATTAATTGTAATTAGATCATTAATAAAAATTACAAAAATGCATTTGATAGTAATAGAGCCAAATTTCATTGGCTTCTCTGTGGATGACTGTGGAAAGTATGGTGGACAATTTTTATCAGTATTTTCGGTAAGCGGGCATAGCATCACGACACATTTCGCTTCTTCTTGTAGAAGCATTTTATAGAATGATTCGATGGTAGCTTGCATTGGTCGCTAAAAATTATAATAAATCAGACATTTAATGCTATTAAAATTTATCACAATATTATTTTATTGAATTCATAATTAAGAATAAAATTGTCAACATTTTATTGCAATGTTTGGTCGTTTCAATTAAAAATTTATTATTTAATATTAAAATATTTCAATGATTAGGAGGATGAAAACGTATGATAAGATGCACTTTTTGTTCCCAAATTTACCAATATATGCTTGGAATTAGTAAAATGAAATTATATGACAAGTTAATTAGTAGTCACGTCAAAAATTCAATGTGATCTCGTCAAAATTCTGATAATATATGATTAAAATGAATGAATAATTTGATGTAAGTTTACACACTTGTGTACAAATGAAATGTTTGGGAAATTTTGGTGTACTTATATAATTTGCATGGATATAGCTATTTGCATCATTTTTTAACAAAACTCGATCCTTATCTTGACATATTACATCCTGTAAAGATGAAGTTTAAATTTCTATTTAGATTGAAAATTTTTTTCAGATTATGAATATATTTAAATAAACGCTATTAGCTATGATAATAAATATATAAAATTTAAAATTGGAAATTGATATTTTGAGTTTTTTAGAATATTGTGCAATTAATTTTCAGATATTTGCAATGATACCTGGCTAAAATTCCGTTCCGCATTAGTATCAAATCCTTTTGTTCCATTTTTTTCGATAATTTTATTCAATTTCTCCAATTCCATTTCTAAGCCAGCTATGCCTTTATCTAACAATGATTCACTCACTTTGTTTGCCTATACAATAATAATTATTATTAATAATTATTAATAATAACAATAATTAATGATAATGATAATCAATAATAACAACAATAATTAATGATAATAATAATTAATTATAATAACAATTAATATTAATGGTAGTAATAACTAAAAATAATGATTATTATTATTAATAAAAAATAATAATAACTCAATATGTTGCATATTATTAATGTAGTTTCTTATTTGCTCGCTCGATAAAAGGATGCAACAATCTTTTCGACTAAGATATTTTTGTCAAAGCATTAATTTTAACAAAATATAAAACTTGCAACGATTGAGAAATCATTTCGTTTAATTATTTTTTCTTCGTTTGTCCACATTTTCTATTTTCTTCATTCCAATGACAAAATTGTGTTAAACTGCGATTTATTTAATATAATAGGGATATCAATCAATCGATCGGTCAATCGATCAGCTGATCAAATAATCATTGCCATTTTAATTCCAGTTCTTTTTTGAAAAATATTGAAGAAAAAAAATAACCTGATCACGTGCTGGTCCATCCTTCAGTTCTTTTTTCAACTTATCCATCTCTTCGGTTATTGTCGCCGATTCATCCAATACGCTTATTTGGCTTCTTAATTTGTTCAATTAAATTTCTACACAAATATTTTGTGGTAATTATATTTGAATACAATTGTCTTAAAAGATTAGTTTTGCCAATATACTAAAAAAAAATTCTGCTTTTAATGACAAAAATTTTATGCAATTTTTTCATTGTTTAATTTTTTTTCATTAATTATTGAAATTAGAGAAATTTTCATAATTTTACAACAAAGGTAATGAAATTTTTGCTGTAATTAAGGTCCTAATTAAATTTTAATAAAAAGCAAACTTTGTTGATGAACTTGAATATTCGTCTTTTTTTTTGCCAAGAATTTTAAAAAATGTTTTCTTCCGCTTCTTTTCCACTGTCTTCTGCTGATCTTTTTTATCTTTCTTATCATCTTTCTCTTTATCCGTACTCTTCTAAATATTCTACTAATAAAATTTACCAAACTATTTATAAACTGAAATAAGGAAAAAAAGTTAATTTAAAAAATTGAATTGCTAGAACGAAACTATGCAATTTTATTTAATGGAAATGAAATGTAGAGGAATATTAATTAACAAATTTCATTACCTTAAATAAATCATTTCAAATTTTGTTCAATCAATTGAACGGAAAAAAGTAATGAAATACAAGAATACCTGTTGTGCGCCAGTTTTCCGGATCCTGAAAAGTTTACATTTTTATTTGTAAAATACTAATTTACTTAAAAAGTTCATCTGAAATTTTCAATTCTATTTTATCTTTATAAAAATTTCCTACGAAGAATAATACAAACCTTCCTAACATCTTTCTTTATTAGCGGTATATGGGAAGTACCTATTATCTTCACCAATACATAACAGCAATTATCAATATATTTGCTAAAGTGATAGCAGTAATCCTTAACATCTTCACTAAAATGATAACACTAATAACTAATGTCTTTATCAAAATGACAGGAAGAATTCTTAAATTTTTACACTTTCAACTTCCTATCTTTTAACATCTATACATTTTAAAAACACATGTATATATCCATACTTCATTGTGTTTACAACTTTTTGCACAATTTTATTCATACTTAAGATCGGTGATACTATTCTTGGCAAAGCTTCGGATAAGTACAGTGTTAAAGAATGTGAATCAACCGATTCCGATAAACTCTATGAAATAAACTGGGCTATAGTTGATTGAACATTGATATTTATCGTTTCAAATTCATGTTGCATTTATGTTAAACTGCTTCGAAGAGAAACAATCGATATTGCTATTCTTTAACATTGCATAACAATAGAAGAGGTTATAAAGATATAGTATTGTAAGAAAAAAAATTGATTTTGCATAAAAATATTCTTACTAAAATACTAATGAACATAGTTAACACAATAGAAATAGGGCAATTAACATGGAATTCAATTCTTTCTTACAAAACTATTTTTGTTCACTTCCTAATGGATTCTCCTAATAAACACTTCCAAAATTTATCTTTACGATCGGAGACTATTTATAAATTCTAATTAATTAAATTTTGAAACATTACAGAAAATATCAAAAAAATTAGTTCATGCTTTCATACCTCAAGATTCCGGATAATTTCCGGAAGATTCCGGATAAGAGATAGGATAAATTATCGCATTCCGGCAATCACATCAAAAATTTTAATTTTTAGTTGAAGAAATAAAATAAAATTATGAATACATTATACGGCTGATGTTGCGCGCCAATGGTGTAGCGGTATCATTGCACCCTCCCATGGTGCAGACCCGGGTTCGACTCCCGGTTGGCGCAAGCCTTACGCTTTGTTCATGAATCATTTCTTCATTTAACATATTCTCCCTCCCTTCTTTGAACTAAAAATATTTATTTACTAGTTTGCTGTGGTGATATAATTGAATAATATAAAGGACATATTGTCGTATTTAACGAAACGATCATTATATAATTATTAATAAAATTTTCAAAATTAATGTCAATAAACGAAATGTGTGTGTGTGTTTGTTTAATTGGAAGAGATCATCGTTATATTATTATTATCACAGCAAACTAATAAATAAATATTTTTAGTTCAAAAGAAGGACTGAAAATTTACTAAATGAGGGAACAATTCATGAAAGGGATAATTATTTATTAGTTTGTTGTGATGAAATAATTGAATAATGTAGAGAATATATACATAATCCACATATCGAAAATAGCCAATGGTCATTACTGATGAATTTTCAGCCATTATTTCAAATGCTCCCAGCATTTTTTCTTCTAAATGAATTTCTTATTGATTTTTTGGCAAAGATTGTTGTTATATTTCTACAAATTTAAATATTCGTACAACTTAATTTACTCTTTTGTTTTTTTGTTTGGAGTGGACAGTAATTAAATAAGAATTCATTTTTATGTTTAAATTATGAGTTTTACTATTTGAGAAGAAGGAAAAGAAAAGTAATAAAATAATATCAAATCATTTCAATATTAGCATGAAATGTGAATTATGTCTGAAACTAAGTTGGAAAAAAAATTAAAACTTAAAAAAGTTTGAATTGGATATAATTATTGCTATTGCGTATTGCAATTGCTGAATTCGAATATACTTTACTGTTACATATTTACATTAATGAAAACAAATTCGATCATACTTTACTGTTACATATTTACATTAATGAAAACAAATTCGAATATACTTTACTGTTACATATTTACATTAATGAAAACAAATTCGAACTCAATTAAAAAAGGGAATGGAAAAGAAAAGAAGGAATGAAAACTGTCAACTCTTTACATTTCATATTTTAATTTCAACTTAAATGCAACAAATGAAATTATAGAAGAATATGAGGTATAAAAAGAAATGTTCAATACTTCTTCTCTTACCTTTCATTTTCTAAAATCCGAATAATAATAATAATAATAAGATGAATGATTGAAATTATTTCAATCGTCTATCTTTTATTTTTTTTATAAATAACAGTACTTCTAATACTTTAACAATGATCAAAATATTTTTATTTAAATAAAAACTATAAGTGTGTATTTAAATTCCAATTTCATTATTATTCTAATCTTAATTTATTAACATTACACATTTCAATATGTAAACATTCGAATTCCAGTTTACTGATTGTTCAATTCGAATTTGCTATATCATTTATAAAATCATTACGTTGTATCACAAACGCTTATCACAAACGCTACATTCAATCTTAACATCTGAAAGATATGTTTGGATGAAATTTGATATGAATTATTAATGAAATAAATATAACGTTAGTTAATAGACAAAAAAATATTAGAGAAAATTAGTGTTTAAAAGGTTGAAAAAATATAATTTGAAAGAAACTTATTAAACCATAAAAGAAATTGTGATAAAATTGAAAATTATTTTCAAAGAAGAAGTAAAATTGCTAAAAGTAATTCGTAATGTAAGTAAACTTTTCTTGAATTTTTAGATAGAAACAAACGAATTTTTTGAATTATTAAAATTCTCTGAATTATTCATTCTTCTTTTATATTATTAGTTTTCTTTCAAAAAAATTTGCTTAATTTCTTTCGAAATTTGACTTTTTGTTTTTTTAAATTATAAGAATTATAATTTACTCTGAATATACACTAAGACTGAGAAAGGGAAAACTAATAACTTCTTAACAAATGTCATATGTAAAACATATATCAATCCGATTACGAAGTGACCTCAACAGTCGGTGTCATATCAGTAGCAATTACTGCAAGTGACATGTCACATTCATTGTCATCCTTATTCTTATTGCTTCAATTCTTTTAAATTTATCTTTCATTATGCTTCTTATGTCTTTTTCATAGATCAAATTATTAAATTATTAAAATTTGCTGAAGCACTTCTATGAACTTTATTATTGTGCATTAAAATTTGCTCAATGCCTATGAAACAGTAAAATTTGAAGAATTAGGTTTTTTGAATCTTTTCAACTAAAAAAAAATTTTTCCAATTAAGTTTTAATTTAGAAGAAAATTATTTATGATAGCTTGAAAGTTATAGAACAGAAAATTAGCTTTATTTTTTACCTATCATTACAATTCTTAATAGTGCTGTATCAAATTATTTTTTGCTCGAAAGAAATTAAAATATATAGAGAAAGAAAGAATGAAATGAATGAAAGCAACTATGAATTATTGTGATATCGTCAAACAAAATGTTTGCAATTCGATAGTTTTATCAATTGTTTTTTATCAAAACTATTAGCAAGAAATTTACGCTTAAACATTCATTCATTTAATTTGTTTATTAATATCTTCAACAATGATAGCACTTTTCTTGTTTCTTCAATCTTTATTTTGAAACGGTACTGAATAAATTTATGAAGTTTCGAAATCGAATAAAATATCGCGTATTTAACTTCTCTAAATTGAATTAGTCACACCTTTCACACGCTTTATATTTTCAAACAATTCTACCCAATAAAATTTCACTGAGTCACATCATGGCCGCGTTAATTTTATACGTTTTTACTTTTAGTTGGAAGAAAAAAAAGTTAGAGGACTTCAGAGTTTTCAGTCTGATGTTAGTTTTCTGTACTAATTTGTTGTGACTTCACCCCCCGTTAAAATTTTATTTAATTTTGTTTTGTAGAAAAACAAAGATCTAAGAGGCGAAATTTAAATGTAAAATGATTTGATGGAAATAGATGACGAGTTTTATGCAGTTCGTATAGATGGTCCTGTTCAGGGATTAAGTAAAATCAAATGGTATTTGTTTAATATAAAAACGGAAAAATTGCTGCTTCGCTTTGAAGGAATATTAAATGATGATTTAACTAAGAATGTGACATTTGAGATCTTTATAAAATTTAAGATGAATTATTTAATTTGTCACGAGAAACATATTAAGTTTTAACTGTCTTGTAACATTGAATTTTTTTGCAGGATTTTTGGTAGCGGATTACATATCCTTTACCGGATGGTTTATCAAGATTGAGAAAAGTCGAAAGAAACCATATCAGTTTATGGGTATGGCTAAGAGACATGTTATGAAATCTCGGAAGCCTATTTTTTTACTATAGAATCCGTCAGATCAGTCAAAGCTAAATAGGTTTGAGAGTATTTTATATTTCCAATTTGATAGTTTTATAATTATAAGCAATTATATTTTTCATTTCCTACTCAAGGAAATATTCCTCCAATGTTTTAGCTTCCGTCAGTGTTGATAATTGATAAGTTTAGAATTTTCGTTCTGCTTATTTCTCTCATTTGGGTGAATGAATTAGGATTATCATTAGAATGTTCGACCATTCATTGCGACTCGCCTTTCGTTTATCGATGCTAGCATGAGTCATTGTTTTATCGTAACAATTTTTCAGTTGGAATGAATAGTGATCAGTTGCAAGATTGGCTTACTGATTTGAACGAACGATGGAAAAATGACACGGAAAAACGAGCACTGAAAGATGTGGAACATGAACGGACACTGTTAACTCATGAAACTTACAGAACTCACTATTTAATCAGTTATCTCAGTTGTAACTACACTGATCTTGACTTAGTACAGCCGGTTGTAGCACAACTTCTCGCGTGTTATTATCGTGGAGGTTACTTTTCTCTTTGATCGTAAATTAATTATAGTAGCTTGGGAAGAATTGCGTCGGACTGTTGACTACAGTTTTATGAAAAATGATAATTCGATCTGCTGGTTCCATTTTAAATATAAGTACGCTTACCAGACACGTAAGATACTCGTAGTTGTGGGTTAACATTTTTATCATAAAATTTTCAAAGCCATATGAAATTTGAAAATTTATCTTCTCCATGACCCGTGCATTAAGCAATTTGTTCATTAAAGTGAAGAACACGCGTTTCTGCATATAGCGTTCAAACATAATGCAATTTCATGCATTGTTTCGTTTTCTGTGGACATAGATAGTGGAGTGATCCATGAAGTGGATTTTTCTGATATAATTAATTTCAGGTATATTACGCTATTTTGTATTACAATGCATTCCATCATTAATTCATATCTATCTTTTGGCATTAGCTAAACGCCAAAGGAAATCAGTTTCCATGTTTGAAACGTTCTTTCTTGCTATTTACAATGAAGAAATACTTGCTGGTGGTACTTTATCCGGATCAATGGCGAAGAAAATAGAGGAAGTAAGTATTTTTTGTAAAATGAAGTTAAATTTACTGCTTTTGTCATACTTATTTCTTATTTAAGTTTATTGGAATGTTTGGTTGTGTCTATTTTGATTGGACAATAAATTTTTAGTTTTTTCTTGACGTAATTAAGGTTGGGCTCGTTTTAATGGTTGAATGTGATACATAGCATCTAAAACTTTTAAACATTAGAATTTGTTGCATATAGAATTTTCTTTTTTACAGTGAATTAGACTAACCTTTGAGAATGTGCGTTTTATCTATAGTTTTAGTTTAACGTTGACTTTGAGCAGTTCAGTTTAACTTACGTTTGAATTTATTTGGAATTGAATTTTCGTCACTTCCTTTAAAGTCCCTATGTGATCATTAATAGCGAAAGTTGATACTATTGTTTCATGAACTACACCACTGTTACAGTGTAACCTGTGGTGGGGAGAACTTCCTAAATCTTCTTTGTTCTATTATTGAATCATTACATACTCGAATGAGGAGTTCTTCACAGTAGGCATTGTAACATTGTATATCTTGAAGGAGAGTACATTCTCCCAATTTCTTGTTGTTACAAGAGCTCAAAAATAACATTTGAACGTTGAAATTTCTTATGGCACAAGTTTTCAAGTAATTTGAAACTAAAGTTCCAGTATTTTTATTCCTTTTTCTTCCTCTTAATATCTTAGTAGCGTATTTACTTGATTCTATTTACATACTTTTAAGGTTCGGATACCATCCACACGTTTCCCAAGCGTATACCATGATCCAAAGAAGCTCAACCTTACCTCAGACATTGCTTTGAAATCTGGAACATCCGCATTTGTACAAGTAATAGTTGAAATTGGGTTTCACTAAAGCTGAGCATACCATGTTTTAACTCTCTATATATTTTTTTAATTTTAGAAACTTCATTTAATTTACAGAAGACTGTACGAATCGGTCCTTACAAATCGGTAGATAACATTATTCCGCAAAATAGGCAAACAGTATTGACTCGTCTATTAAAGTCCGTAAGTTTTTGTTAATTATGATTTAACTTTTAATTAAAATTTAAATTGCAAAAAAATTCAGAATGAAATTATCGAGCAGATAGCAGTCTTTCTTCACCAGTCATCCAACTCATAAATCATTTTCGTTCTTTTTCAGATGAATGGGTGTCTCTGTAGGTTATCGTGCGATGTAGTATGTCAAAGCGTATGTTTGAGCACCATAGCTCTTTGTCAAAGCGGGTTTTCTTTTCGCGAAACTGCTTTAGGGTCACGAGTTTTTGGCAGCAATTTTTGTTCTAAAGAATTTGATGATTTTTCAAAGTATGTTGGTAGTCCTTTGTTTTTCTATTTTTTTCCTTTGTTTTATTCGAGGATTCAGTAACGAATTTCCAAAATTTCGAAATAAAACTAGTCCTCAATGCATTATTCCCAATATTACTGAAATATTAATATGCATTTATAATTCTTCATACATATAGCCTGATACATATTCCACATATGTAGCCTGTACCTCATTTCCACTGCTCTTCAATACAAAGAGCAAAAACTGATTTTGTAAAATTACCGGTCTGAAATTTTGTCTGGTTACTTGGACATTTAACTTTTGAATTTGAAAAATTTTCTGTCACTATCTTAAAAGATTGCATATGAATAATGTCATCTATTATGATCTAAAAAAGTTTTGCAGAAAACCAAGATTACGAGTCTCATCTCAATATCTGTTAGAGTCCTTGAATGGTTTGTACTTTGCATTGTTCAACGGTACGCCAGAATTGGCTGTTCAGGCTATTGATGCTGTGCACCAAAGGGCTTTGTATGAATTCTATGCAGACGTTATTCTGGTATGTTTCATTAATTTTTGATCCGATGAAACCATTGAGAAGCTCTTTCATTTAAAAAATTTTAATACTATTAAATCAACTTTTGTTTATTGTATTAGGTAACGAATAGTGCATTGCAGGTAACGAATAGTATTAGCGAAACCCTTCTTGAAAGTAACTTTCATAAAAATGCAGAATTGTTGACAGCACACTGGATGCGTTCTGGAAAATTGGATAGTCACAAAGGGAATGAAGTGGTAACAAATGCTTCCTTACGGCTAAAGAAAATGCCTGAGGATATTTCACCTGTTGTAGATGATGATATGAAAGGATTTAATTTCTCTGATAGTAAGTTAATTTCTCTAGTTATATTTTGCTCAGTTTTAAGTTACTTCATTAATTTGTGCTGCATTACAGATGGTAACGTTTTTATTTCTTGGGTCTCACACTGGACAGTAAGTGAGCATTCCTTCTACACATTGTGGATTTCGTTTTTTCTGTGCTGATTGCATTTTATTCTGGCCATATAATTCTTTCTGTTTTGCATATTCGAATACGGATACGATTTCTTGATGTATATTGTACATCTTTAGTGACGATGTAGTTATTGTTCTTCTAGAAATCTGCTTTTGCATATTTTGCTAGTGTGTAATCCATATTAAGTGACAAATTTTGTTTGCAGAAAAGTGAAGTATCATGAGCAATTTCGCCTCACATATTTAACCTTAGTTTAAATTTTTTGTGGTGCGAAAAAACACACATTATCATAAGTTATAGGCGTTGAAAACTTCAAGAAGCGAATTGCCGTAAAAGTAGAACAGCGCAAGTTAAAATATCAGTTCGGGCATCACAGGCGAAGATCAGTGAGTGGTTTTTTCCCGTTTATCCTTTAAATGTTTCTCTGCAGCTATCAATACTTCATGAGTACCTTCAAAGGATTTATCATACGGTTTCCTGAAAATACATGAAACGAAAATCTTTGATTTTCTGATGAAGCAATGAGATGTCCTGAAATTTTTGTTACTATATTTACGAAGCAGAAAATCAAACAAATGTACAGCGAGTATTTCATTGTCAAAATTATAAGTTTAAACAACAAACTGCTTTAGGAAAACGGTGATAAAAATGCAGATGATATTGAATTGGGCCCAATCAACGAAGAACCAGTTTCAAGTGCAACACAAAATCCTTTAATTTTTGATGCTACCGATAAGGCCACACATCAAAATTCACCACGACATCATTCCATTTCATATGATTTAGCAAATTCTGACAATAGTGTCTTGGTTTCATTTCGACAAGATCAGGTTCATAATGGAACATCACCAAAATCAAGAAATGAATTAATTGACTTTTCTATCCCAAGAGATAGTGATTTATCTGAAGCCGTGAAGCCAACATCTAAAGAGGGAAGTATACATGACTTAGCGAAGTGGCATGGCAATATTCAACACATCGATAGTATAACTGATGCTTTTGAAGGCACTTCGTTATGAAAAATTCAAAGCTCATATAAGCTTCTAATTTATCCATAAAGTCCAAGGATTAGGAATTTTATATTTTTCAACTCAAAAACTTTAGAATCATAACTTTATTTAGGGATGGTTGCAGTTATAATGTATATATATAAAACTATATATATATATATATATATATAGTAAATACATAGAAAAAACTGAAAACTATATATGTATATAAAAACAAAAAGGATAATAAAATTTTATACATAGTTTTTAGTTTCCAAAAAGGATGATAAAATTTTATATATAGTTTTCAGTTTTATATATATATTTATTGTCCTCTTTTGAATATTTTTGGCATTTATATAGTAGTTTTTCTTTTTTAGTGTTCTATTACTATTGCACACATATCATTATATATATATATATATATATCCCTTAATAGTCACTGATAAATAACTGAATACCTCCAAGAGTGATCCTTGCAAAGATCTTTTCGTTATCTTATCAAAAGATCTCTCATCTGATTAACTTGTAATGCTCAAGATTAATGCAGAGGACGTAGTGCACATCATCGTTCCTTTCTCCATAGGATGTGAGTGGAAATATCTTAAATCATTCTTAACCTTATAACAACTAATTTCGATATCAGAAAATAACAAGATTAACTCTTGTAACCTCAATGAAGATGGTTGCACATCTCAATCCATTAGAAAAGATTTCAGCGTATATTATTGTCTTGTTTGAATGTATAGTTTAAACCGGCTGAATTACTTCGTCAATACAGTAGCATTCGGTATATTCGCATCATCTGAGTAGGTTCGATTTTTGGATGCTATATCATATCTACTGTATTTTTGGGATTATTTTTTGTTATAGGTGTCTTTCTATTTTTTCGTTTACTTCAGTTTATTCCATAATAATTTATTTTTTTTAAGATTCTAATATAATCTCGTGGACCCACCTCGCTGTTTTAATCCGCGAACCTTTCCTTAGGTTAGTGAAGATTTTATGGCGTGTTTTTGCGAGAGAAATCTGCAAATTCATAATATCTCTGTGTTATGTCCTTCTTATCACTGCAAACATACCGCTTTTAAATTTTGGAAGCGGCAGTTTTCATCGATTTGGTCTGTTCTACTCGAAATTCACGTCATTATTACGTTCTCATATTATTTATTCATTGTAAATGATATAGAATATAACTTTTAAGTATGCAAGAACTGTCTATTAGCTCTTCTTTCACTGTGCAAATAAATAAAAGTAAATGCGTTATTGCTAAATCGAGATTTTGTAGACATGCGGAAAGACCACTGAATTAGTCATCGGAAAAGTAAAAGAATTTCATTTTGCTAATCTTCTTTCTTGTTCTAATCTGCTACACATTCAAATATCACTGCAAGAAAGTTTGCTAACAGATACAAATGGGCAGTTTGCGGTTTTTCGGAAATTCTAATGCAGAGATGAAAGCATAATCTGATAAAAGGAATGCAGCATCATTTTCCGCCTTTTCCAAAGATTCATGATCTCATGGGATGATCTCTGTGAATTCGAGGAACAGATGTTGATCTTGGACTCGTTTAAGGAGCATATATGTAAAATATGATGAAGTAATGGTTCAATGGTTTAATAATGCTTCATAGAGTACATATTTCCTAAGTTATGGTAATTTATAGAGAAATTGAAATAAAGAGGCTGCTGTAGCAAATAATAGCCGGAAGATATTTAGCGAAGACAATATGTTAGTGTTTAATAATTTTTATTAATCTTTGATATAAATTAAATATTTATTAATATATCTTTACGAACTTGTTTACATTACCAAAGCAAATATCAAACTTTTCACCTGTCATAAAATAACTTTCAATCCAAAAAGAATAAGTTTTTTTTAATATTCCGATGAAATTATGTCATTATTTTATATGCACATGGATAGATATATAACGGTAATTTATAAAACGAATGACAGTTAGAAGAAGTGGTCAACAAATTCTGAGATAATTTGATTTGACTAGAATAAACTTTTATGTTATCAAAAAAATATCCGGATGTTACCTTCTGGACATTCTCGACAGCCATTTGTCATATGCCTATTGCTAGCTAACAACCGATAGTCAATAAATTTAGCCACTCGACATGAAGAGACAAGCTCCCATTGACGACGCCATCAAAAAAACTCTCTAATTTTTGGCTGTCCAGAAATATAATTTTCATTCCTGATATTTGTGACACGATGATTAATGGTCTGTTAAACTGTTAATTCCCACCACTATGTCATTTGTATGTGACAGCTTGGCTGGATGCTGTTAATCGGATGTAATTCAGTTTGGTTAGGTCATTATGCGTGGACAGTTTAAGTACAGCAGATTTATTTCCTAGCTATGAGATCAAATCATTACAATTATTGATATATTTTCAAAAGTGACTTGTTAAATTTCATTTACACATACAGCAGCAAGTTTACAGATCATATTGTTATCATTTCTTCTAGGATTTATTGTTCCGAAATATTTGGATGATTCGTGATATTTAAGTCAATATATGGCGGCCTTCTTGGAGCAATGGGTAAACGATGAATTGTATACACTGGTGGGTTGCAGTGATCGTACTGCCGTGCAATATATCTTAGCGCTGGCGCGGAAATCAACGGATGCTGAAGATTTGTTAGAGCGGTTGCGAAGTACGGATACAATGGAAGATACACCAGCTGTGAGGAAATTTTCTAGTGAGTTGATTGCGCGGATACCACATGCAGGTTAGTCTCTCTTGGAACTATTTTTATTAAACTAATTTACTCGGTAATCACGCATGTTCACGTACTTGCATGCTCATATATTCATTCCATTCGTTGACAAGATATTTTATAAAGAAGTAATGAGTTGGATGAATAATATGTTTATAAGTGGTGGGAAATAAAAATACGAAATATATCGTTGAGAATGGTGATAGTCAAAATTTTGCCACACTTTTCAGCTGCCAAAATAAAAAAAGTAATACAGCCATCAGAAGCTGAACTGCGTGCAAAAGAAATCATGCGTCTTAATCGAGATTTAAAAACAATAGAATCTGATGATGAAGAAGACATACCACAAAAGAAGCGTAAAGAGGTAAGAGTAATTTAATTTTGTTTATCATTTGTAGCCACATTCAAATGGCTAATTGCTATTACTATAAACTGCTCTTGAGGAATCTATAATCTTCAGGCTCATCGTAAGTCGACATCACCGTGCAGAACGTGGTGCTTTATGATTTCTGTAGTCTCGGGAGTTCAATAAATTTTACAGCTGTAAACTGTTTTTCTTGATTTTGCAGAAAGATTTATAGGATTAATAGAATGAAATTTTTGTTTTCGAATTTTCGTTTTGTGTTAAGGGTGATAATTTATTATCGCTATTGTAGAGTAGGAAAGCCAAAAGTAAATTTTCGATGAAAGAAAGCGTAAGCGATGAGATGGATCGGATAAAAGCTGAGGAGGAGCAGGACTTACGAGAGCGTGATGAATTGGCGGCAAGAATAAGGCAAAGAGACAAAGAAAAAACTAGAAATATAGTTACGAAGTCAGAAAAAAAGGCTGAGGAAGAAGCTGCGAAGAGGTCACTTTTTAAAAAATTAGATATTAAAGTTCTTGAAGTTCTTAGTTTTTGAATTGAAAGGAAAGTTATTTAGGCTTAAGTTGGAAACGAAAGATCGTACTAAGATCGTTTCACAGCTACGTGAAGAAAGTCGAAAGCAATATCTAGCGAAGAGAAAGGATGATAAACTTGATGAGCTTGAAAAAGTTGTTGGGGATGACGAACACTTTTTTGCGAATGAACGGTATGTTTTGTTTTGTCAGCTTCATTGCAGAAAATCCATTTTACTTCAAGTAGTTGCTGGGTACTTCAAGAGGATTCTATTATGCTTAAACTGAATGAGCGTGTCGCAGAAATAAATGTTTGTATTTCTACCTAAAGAAAATTGTGCAGCTAAAGTTAATTAAATTCAATTGATTTCAGGTTGACGGAACGAGAAAAATTAGATATGAAATATCGAAAGGATATACTAGAATATGCGCGACAACATGAACGTGCAGCAGATTTTCTTAAAATCAAGCGTTACCATGTTCCGGATGCTATGAAATCAGTACCAATGGATAGTTTAGAAGATGCGGATGAAATTCCAAAAGGTGACGGGAGGCGTTGGGAAGATGATCGACTGGCAGCAGCTATCGCCAAATATGGTGCCAAAGATAAGGTTTCTTGTGTTCCTAAATCTTTCATTTACATAAGTCTTCATAATTTTACAGGCTCAAAATGTTGTAGTTTACTACAATATAGATAAAGACGGTTACATGAGTATGCTAGTTACGACTGATTTCAGAAACGGGACGTATTTGAAATGGTATTAGACGATGAGAAAATTGATTTCATCCAGGCTTTTCAAATGCCGGGAACATCGGACACTGAGGTTTGTTATATTCTTCAATTGCATTTCAGTCACTTCTATCCGAAGATTAAATTTTTGCTAGACCTCAGTTTTATTTTAATTTAATGTTGGAATTGAAATCTATAAGGAGACAAATAGCTGTTGCTTATTGGATTACCTAATGATTGCTTTGCAGGAAAAGACACTTTCGGCTTCCCAGAAAAAGAAAATTACATTAGCTGAGACAAGAAAGTCGCTGCCAGTTTATGCATATCGAGATGAGTTCATACAAGCAGTTCACGATCATCAGGTGCTTATCATCGAAGGTGAAACAGGTTCAGGAAAAACCACTCAACTTCCACAATATTTATATGAAGCGGTTTGTTAACTTTCTATAAAGCATTGAATGATTATAAATCTGAATATTTCCATCGCTTTTTAATTTATTTTTCTGGTAGAGATTCATATGCAGTGTGGACAAACGTTATATGGAAAATGATGCATTTCACTTTCCTAAACTATGATATGTGTCTGCTTGTTGATGATGCTCATTGTTCAAAGATTGTTTCGTAATTTTAACAGTAGTTGTGTTAAGGGGTTTTGTGTGAACAAAATGAAAGTTGGCTGTACGCAACCTCGTCGAGTAGCAGCGATGAGTGTAGCTACGCGAGTAGCTGAGGAGATGGGTGTGAAGTTAGGAATTGAGGTAAGTACATTTTATGGCCATCATTTTTCCACTTTTTTATAATGTTTTCATACACTTTTGTGGAATTAAGCTTATTTGTTAGGATGTGTGTGGAGGAGTTAGGCTTATTTGTTCTTTTCTCCTTCACAAAATTTTCGACTATGTAATTCTGTCAGATCAATTGTGCTTTTTATTGAGGTTGGTTATTCAATACGTTTCGAAGACTGTACATCGGAAAGGACAGTTATAAAGTACATGACTGATGGAATGCTATTACGAGAGTTTCTGAATGAACCTGATCTAGCTAGTTACAGGTTAGTTAGGCATTTTACTTAACAAATTTAGTACTTTATCAAAGTCAAGAACTCTTGTTCGCTGAAAACAAATACTATGAGTGTTTTATAACATAGTTATCTTCAAAATTTGTTATTTTTACAAAAATTTATCTCTGAAGGATTTCAGTGTTATTATTATCGATGAAGCCCACGAACGAACGCTTCATACGGATGTTTTGTTTGGTTTAGTGAAAGACATAGCACGGTTTCGTAATGATCTCAAACTGTTGATTTCCTCTGCAACCCTTGATGTTGAAAAATTTTCTACATTTTTTGATGATGCCCCGATACTTAGGATACCTGGTTAGTTAACAAATTTCCTTATAATTTTTCGGAACTAGAACTTTATGCATTTATTGATTTCTATTAACATCGGCTTTGTATTATTTGTCTGCAGCTCCATATTTGTGAACAAAATTGTATTGTGTTAAATTAATGAAATTTTAGGCAGACGCTTCCCAGTGGATATTTATTACACAAAAGCTCCTGAAGCTGATTATCTTGATGCAGCGATGGTCTCAATTTTACAAATTCACTTAACACAACCACTTCCTGGAGATATTCTCGTTTTCTTAACGGGACAAGACGAAATTGAAACACTGATGGTAAATTCGATCTTGAAAATAGATTCTAACTTTGTTTACAGTTTGTTCAAACAAAAGCCTTAATTCTGTATTTCGACAAAAAATTATAAAAGCGTGTTATTCCAGGAATCTTTATTAGAAAGAACAAAGTATTTTGGGAAAAAAATTAAAGAGCTTATCATCTTGCCCATTTATGCAAATTTGCCTTCCGATTTGCAAGCTAAAATTTTCGAACCAACTCCACCAAATGCTCGAAAGGTGTGTTCTTTTTTGACAAGATTTCAAATTATATAAAACAGTTCAATTTATGAATTCGTATTATTTTTAAATTTTAAAATTTAAGGTTGTTTTGGCTACTAATATAGCTGAAACATCCGTCACCATTGATGGAATTTGTTATGTAATTGATCCTGGATTCAGTAAACAGAATTCTTTTGATGCTAGGAGTGGTGTCGAGCATCTGCATGTTGTCACCATTTCAAAGGTTTGTCAATTTTTAGGTTTGTGCTGATTTTTGGTTTTCAATTTTAGCATTTGATTTTTATAAAATGATTTCCTTTACATTTTATTTTATCCTGGCTTTAGTGCTTACTTATTCGTACCACTTCAAAAGCTTGTCATAAAATCTCTAAAGAAAATGTTTTAGGCTGCTGCCAATCAGCGTGCTGGAAGAGCTGGCCGGACCGGTCCCGGAAAGTGTTTCCGTCTGTATACTGCATGGGCTTACAAAAATGAATTGGAAGATCAACCTATTCCGGAAGTAATCCAACTTTGTTTTTTCTTCACTTCATTATTTTTAGTCATAGAAGTTAAAAGAATCATTTTTTCAAGATTTGATAAATTTGAAGAGCAGTTCATGAATTTGAAATGTAAGACGAAGACACCGCAAAAGTAATGTAATTTTCAGATCCAAAGAACAAATTTGGGTAATGTTGTACTGATGTTGAAAAGCTTGGGCATCCACGATTTAGTTCATTTTGACTATCTGGACCCACCTCCTCAAGAAACACTGGTAATTGCACTGGAACAATTATATGCACTTGGAGCCTTGAATCATCGCGGTGAACTGACTAAGTTAGGAAGGCGCATGGCTGAATTTCCGTGTGATCCGTGCATGAGTAAAATGATTATTGCATCCGAAAAGTACATCAATTCGTAATTTTTCAAATCTTGTAATGTATTGGTGTTATGTGAAATTTATTATTGATTAATAATTGCTTGAAAGATGAGTGAGAAGCTAATATAGTGTCAAGTGATTATTCAGTTTTCAGTTTATTCCTGAATTCTTGTCTTCAAAAATAAAACCAGCAGTTTCTCCAAAAAATTTTACTTATTTCTATTCACTTCTTCCATTGTCTTAACTTTATTTCATTTGATCATAGTGAATAGTAGTTTTCCAATTAAGCATTTACTGAATTATATGATGCTCTGTAGAAAATTTCTATTAGCAATGATAAATAGTAACTTATTTGGGAAAGAAAGTTAAACCATTTAAAGGTACGGATGTTCTGAAGAAATCATTACTATTGCTGGAATGTTATCATGTAACGCGGCGGTGTTTTATCGACCTAAAGCTTTGGTTATCCACGCAGATGCTGCTCGAAAAGGCTTTTGGGTACCAGGCGGAGACCATCTTACTTTGCTCAATGTTTACAATCGTTGGCGAGATACCAATTACTCGTCGCAGTGGTAGATTTCTGTCTTTTTTTATATCTTTTTAGCATCAAATATTTCAAATCAAAGTAGATGTTTTAAAATTAAACTTAAGGTGCATGGAGAATTTTGTTCAGTATAGGACCATGAAAAAAGCTCGAGATGTTCGCGATCAGCTTGAGGGATTATTGGAAAGGGTTGAAATAGACCAGGTTTGCGTTTGAGATTTTATGGTGAACATTTTGGCTTGAATTCTTGCTGATTTTATATTAAATCCAGTTTTAAAACCAAGCTTTGAAGAGATTATGCAAAAGATTAGGGAATCTTACTGATTAGAATTCCAGAAGCACTCGTAGAAAACTTTTTCCTATTCAAATTTCAAATTCTTTGCTCACTCTATGCAAACTGCTTTATCAGGAGGTCAGCCACTGTTTGATAACAAGTGATATTACAACAAGTTACTCTTTTTCTTTTATTATCCGCATGGTATATTTTCCATCATACATTTTTCTATCATTTTCCATCATTCTGGATTACGGCAATGGATAGTTTCATTATACTTATAATTTCAAAAAATGGAGCACATGCGAAGGCGATCTTTGACCAACAATTTAATTTGTTTCTTAGTTGGGGTAATCATTTTAAGGTTTCAAGTAACGATTCGATAGCAATTCGAAAAACAATCACCTCAGGATATTTCTACAATTGCTCTAAACTGGATAGCAGCGGCCATTATAAAACTGTTAAACACAAGCATACAGTGCATATTCATCCAAATTCTTCTTTGTTCGAAGAAACTCCGCGGTGGATGATTTATTTCGAGCTTGTCTTCACATCTAAAGAGTTCATGCGCGAGGCAAGCTTGTAGTTTTTGGTGGCTTTCTAAAAATTGATTAATGTTTCGAATTGAAGTTCAGGATCACTAATTTTCGTTTACCTTTAACGAAAACTAATGATCCTAAAAAATTGTAGTGTCTCTCTTTCACAAAATGGCAGGATCTGCAAAAAAGAAAAAAAACTTTTCTAGATATTCTTTTTCTTTTTAGATGGTTCTATTTGAATTTTAAGATCACAATGATAAATTTTTGCAAAATTAGCTGGATTTTAAGGTCATCGAGATCGAGAGTAGTTGGTTAACGGAAGTCGCACCACACTATTACAGAGCCAAAGAACTGGAAGACTCGACCAACCGAAAAATGCCAAAACAAAAAGGAAAAGCCGCAATTGAATTGTTATCATTGTGATCTTAAGGAGATTTTTTGTTCATAATTTGAAAGCTTCAAATTTTTTATACCTTCCAAAATTACCATGAGTCGATAACAAAACATGGATAGTCAAGATGTTCTTGGTTATATCAGTTGGGGATTGATTGCCGCACAGAAATTTGATAAAATTCTCGAGATATCGCTTCTTTCGTTTTCTTGTATATTATTGTGTTTTTTATAAAAGGTTTAAATCTTTTTAGAAAGATTCATTTTTATCGGTATATTCCGTTTCGGCGGAAGTTTTATATATTTCAAATATTTGTCCGTTTTATATGATGACTGATTCACCTTCCGAGATTATATATTTTTTAAGAATTTTCATGTTCTTATATGCTTATTATGTAAGCATCATATAATATTTTGAAGAAATTTGTTTTGAGCATCTTAATATTGAAATCGCACTGTTAGAAGTGTCGATTTCTCATAAGACTTATTTGATTCACTTGTTCAGTGCTAGAGATGAGAAATAATTTCCGTAAGTTGTTAAATAGTTTCCGCAAGTCATCATTTGTTTATGTAGCGATATGAACATAAACGTAATCTTTATTAAATTCTTTTCTATTTTTATGCCTTTGACTGCTGCGAGGAATAATGGAACAAGTTACCGTTCCCGGATCCGAACAAGGGATATTCCCAGAACCAGTGCCAACGCCACAACATTTCGAAGCACCAGAAACTCCGCAGCAAAAAGCATTGCTAAATTTGGTATTCAGGTCGATGAAACGGACACATGATCTTTTTTATCACGACTATGGAACTTTACCTGAATTAAATTCAGAAGCGTAAGTTTTATTTATGAAAACGGGAATCGAGATGACAGGCTAACCAGTTCACTAGTCGTCTTGAAATTTGCGTTTGTGCGTAATGAGTAAAAGATTGTCAAACAGTGAAGTAAGAAATTCCATTCATAAGTAAGTCAATATAAAGTTGAAATAATTGCAAGGTAAATTTTTGAGCATTATGCTTATGTTATGTACAGTTCTCTGCGGGACACTGTACCAGATTTTTTGCTGAAAAATTTTTTAATATTCCAGCGATGACTTGTGGCGAGCCGTGAAGTTAAAATCTGAATATGGAAGTGTTATGAAAGAAGTTAGTGAAGCAAAGAGGAAGAAGGAGGAAGAGTTATTGAAATTGCCGATGAATCCAGTAAATGTTATAAATAGTTCTGATGAGAGTTCCTCAAGAACGCTTACTACAATTGCTGGTGCAGCAGAAGCCATGAAGTCAGTATTTTTCAATATCAATAGTTTTTTACTTGTAATTGTACTCTTAATTTATTTCCACACAGCGGAAAGTTTCTTTAGCGAAAAAGACAGTATCGATTTGACAGCATCCAGTCGCTCAGAAGATAATACGGTGCGTACTGTGTTGCCTGCTCGAGCTCCTGTTATGGTTAAACCTAAGTGGCACGCACCATGGAAATTATACAGGTATATTCGTATAAATAAACTATTAGTGGAAATGTCAATTTAAATTTAATGTTCCTTACCATGATTGTTAAGTAATTGTTTTCTTTTATTAGCTTTGCTTAAATTATCATTTTAAGAGTGATTTCGGGACATACAGGTTGGGTAAGATGTGTGGATGTTGAACCTGGTAATGAATGGTTTGCGACAGGTGGCGCCGATCGAATTGTAAAGGTTTGTAACGGTTTTTGCAATATTATTTTCACTCCAGATTATTTTTCTGAATTAAGGCATATAATTAGTCTTATATTAGAAAATGAAAATCGACTGCTTTTGTAACTGCTGTTATTTCTCTATATTTTATAGATTTGGGATCTCGCAAGCGGAAAATTGCGATTGTCGTTAACAGGGCATGTAAGTGCCGTTAGGTGCTGTAAAGTCTCACGTAGACATCCGTTCCTTTTCACGGGTGGTGAAGATAAGCAGGTAAGCTGAATTTATTTGTACTAAAGTTGGCCATTTATTTGCTCCTGGCTAATTATTATAAACGAAAGATTTAATTTTTTTAAGTAAAGTAAAAGTAATCTCATTAGATGTTTATCACTTTTACGAAGGACTGTATGACTGATGAGCAAGAATTACCTGTCGTGATGTTCAGGTGAAATGTTGGGATCTCGAGTACAACAAAGTCATCCGCCATTATCACGGACATTTAAGTGCCGTTCAGGATCTTACAATTCATCCGACAATTGATGTTTTGATCACTTGCGCTCGAGATGCTACTGCACGAGTAATCTTTTGGTCAAAAATTTTGAGAATAAAAACTAAAACTAGATATTTAAACTGAGTAACTCTCTGCATTGCAGATTATGATATCGTTTCATAGATAGATGGCAAAGATTTCACATATATTTTCGAACATTTATTTTAGGTTTGGGATATGCGAACTAAAGCCCAGGTTCACTGTTTGAGTGGGCACACAAACACAGTAGCAACAGTTGTTTCACAGGAAGTTGATCCTCAGGTTATCACGGGTAGTCATGATTCTACGATCAGGCTTTGGGATCTTGCTGTTGGACGAAGTATTTGCAGTTTAACGCATCATAAGGTTTCCCTTAATTTCTAATCACCAGTATAATTTATGCTGGTTGCTGGTAATTAAAAAAATAGTTCAATAAAATTTTTTTTTGCATCAATACAATATACCTCACAGAACTTATGTTTGATATATTGTATTGGTGCAAAAGATCTTTCACCTAGTTTTATCCACAGGAGAAGTTTGTTTTTATAGACGTTTATCAAAATTATACATATATGCTGCCTGACATAAGATTACAGATTAAGTGATAAAATATAACTTCTGTGAATCATTCAGTTAGTAAGTAGCAACAAAGTATATTAAAGTGGCGAAGATGTTCATCAGAAATCGAAGTAGTTCTACAGCATATCATTCCAACTCTTATTGATAGCGGAAGATGAATCTTTTGATATGACATTTTTTTCAGAAGAGTATCCGAGCTTTAACATTGCATCCTTCACTCTTCATGTTTGCGTCTGGAAGTGCTGATAATATCAAAGAATGGAAGTGTCCGGAAGGAATATTTATCCAAAATTTATCAGGCCATAATGCAATCATTAATTCACTTGCATGTAATGAAGACAGTGTGCTTGTTTCTGGAGGTGAGTCTTGATGCTTAATTTTATGAGATCCTGAAACAATTTTTTTTCAATATTTCTTTCGCTGTGTTTGCATTGCATGGAGATGATAAGTAGCCTTTTAATTGATCGTTGTCCCGCTAATGTTTTCATCTTATTCTAAAGAGGAATATGTCCGAGTTTATTGAAGTTTTAATTCTAGGCGATAATAAGTAATGTATTGGTTTTCAGGTGATAATGGTTCCTTGAATTTTTGGGATTGGAAGAGTGGTTTTTGCTTCCAACGTGAACAAACGAAAGCTCAACCAGGTTCAATCGATTCAGAAGCTGGCATATTTGCTCTCACATACGACCAATCAGGCTCCCGATTAATCACTGCAGAAGCTGATAAGACAATCAAAATGTACAAGGAAGATGAGAATGCGGTATGTTTTTTCTATCTACAGTTTTAATTTCTGGCACTAATTTAAAAGATGCATTACTTTTTCGTTTAACTTTATAACTTAAATATACAGATTTTTCTTTTTTTTGTTACATGCATAATCAACGACTTTGCTGTCGTTCTGATAAAGAATAATAAACACTAATTTATATTTGAACACGTCTTTATGGTGAGAGTTTTTCATATTGCTTTAGTGACAAAGAAGTTAAGCTCCCACGAAAGAGCAAATACAAAATAAATTGGATGGATAAATGATGGTAATTTTTTTTTATTAAAATATTTATTTCCAGACAGAAGAAACACATCCAATCCTGTGGAGGCCAGAAATATTACGACGAAAAGCTTATTAGTTTATACTTGACATATTGTTTAGTGTTTCCCTCATGCTTTGTTTATAATTTTGACATTTCATGAAGAATGACGAGCTGGCGATTAGGGAAATTTTTTTTTATTTTCGCATGTCTTTTTTTAATCCATTCTATCACTTTAATTCGAAATGAGCAGTATTCCCTTTGTTTTTTAATTTCTTTTTCTACCTTATTCTCTGTTCTCCATATGCTTCTTCTGTTCTTTACCCTGCTTACTTCACTGGTTCTTTTACTTTGTTGAGGAAATAATATTTCATCTTCTCGTATGTCCTGCTAAAGATTAGAGCTGTGAGGTATTAAAAGCTTGTTTCTAAAAATTTGTAAGATTTGCCATGAAACAACACGTAGAAGACGCGATTTCTAATATACAGGTGGATAAGCATAGTGAAGAGCTTTCATTGCAGGTAATCAAAGTTCAAATACATTTATGTATTAGAAGATGGAAATTACATATCCTTACCTTTTAGTGTTTAAATTTTATAATTTTTTTTTGCTTGTGCACTTCTAATATGAAGAGCACTGAATAAAAATTTGAATAAATTTTGGTTCTATAAAGTCAAAATTAAGAAGAAGATGGAGAATTAGCTGCTGCTAAACTTGAAGTTCATTTTTTATTATCGTTTTCCTAATTAAACCAACGATTATTTATTCATATAATCGGTACATGCTCTATTTAGTTATGAAAATGCCCATCGTATAGCTTGCACATGCGCATCAAAGGCATTCACTAGTGTTAGATACGCAAATCGTGTACTACTTCATGGTATAAAGTTAACAATTTAGCAATTATAATTCATTTTTTTAATATGACGACCGAGAAAAGGTTGTCCTAAACTCTGCATTTCATGCAACTTTACAGTGAACAAAGGTGAATAGTTCTGTAATCGTGTCAGATGTTATTAGAAATTGACAGCGGTGGGTTCCGGCGTATTTAAATAACTCAAACTGTCTTTTGGAGAAATATACTGAATGGTGAAGCATTCATTTCTATCCTTTTAAACCTAAATGAACAAAGATGACATCCATCCTCTCACCATTAGGCATAGTTTAAATTTATTCCTGTGTCAAATAATAGCTGCTCAATCCTTACAAAAAATTTAATTATAAACCCATACAATCAGTTATGGAACTTACTGCGACATATTAGACAGTGATGTGATTTTTTTTGAATTCAAAAAGAAATTTAATTATTTGCTTGAAAAAAATTATAAAGGTATTATTACTTTTAAAATCAGATGCATACTTCGTTCCATATTAATTATCTACCTACAATCTCCAAATTGTATTCTGGGAGAAAATTTATGAAGAAGAGAATTGAGTGCTCATTATTTCCTTTTGAACTTAAATTTAAAATTAACTTTAAATTTTTGTTCTCAAAGCTGGTTAGGAATATGAATTTTTGCTATTGTACTGATTTGCAGAGAACGTAAGTTACCATCAGCAAGTTTATCTGGATTATATGTAGCTTATGCGATCTCTTGCATCGTTAGTTTCAAAATTTGAATGAGAAAAAAATTTGTTTAAACGAAATTTATTTATTAAAATATCCAGATCATTTAATCGAGAAAATTGTGAGACTCATATTTCTTGGCTTTCTAATAATTTCACTGCAGCAAATTGCAATATCATAGGGTGACCGATTATGGACTTTTGCGCTTATACTAATATTAGAATATATTGGTGGTATTCGACTGGTATGTTTTAATCAGTTACTCGAAGAAATAATTATTATGGCATTTAGTTCAGTAATTGGAAGTTGGATGGATCATAATACTAGAAAACGCGGTAAATTAAATTAAAGATCTAAGCTATCATTTTGTTCTCATTTGTTGATATTTTGTAACGTATCAATAAGATGGATTGATTTACATGGGAAAAAATTCTAATTTACAAAAATTTTTTGTAATTAATTAATTATTACTATTAATTATAAAGAAGAGAACTGAGTTTGTACTATTGAAGTGTTTTTTTTCAGGTATACTGATAGTATTGATTATAAATAACGCTAATGTAGCGATATCAGCAGCATTGCTTGCTGCATGTATTACAATTGGCGGGATAAGTGATAATCGTGGTGTATGCGATTATTTGATATCATTCATGAATTATTATCATTATGATCATCTTCATCATTATTACTATCATCAGCATCAGTCTTGTCATTATCATCATTATGCTTATTGCTGTGACCGTTATTATCACTATTACCATTGTTATTATTGTCATTATCATCACTATTACTTATCATAAAAATTAGCTTTATCCATATTTATTGTGATGGCTTGCTCATAATGTTTCCATCATTATGAATATTATCCTTTCTTTTTTTCCCATCTTTTCTTTCTTCCTTCCATAATATCATGGTTAAATCATATTTATTCACTTTATAATTAAATTAAATATAACTGAATTAATTTCAAACATGTGATCTGTAATACTTCAATCTAAATTTAATATATTTTTTTCAATTGATATACTTAATACAAAATTTATATGTCACCATATCTATGCTTTTGAAATAATTATTCGAAAATTTAACGAATACAAAGAATTTTAAAGGACAAAATTTTTAGTCATACTCTTTGTTGTGGCATATTTTCTATATTATTTGTATTGTTTTATCGATAATTACTTGTTCGGTTGGTTGTTTAGCAAGTGAAATGGAAAAAATGGCTTTTACCAAGGATTGGATTGTTGTAATAATTAAAAAAGATAATTCATCATTATCTGGTATAACTTTATCAGTCACTAAACATATTTAATTATTAATTCTGAATTAGAATACAAAAATTGATAAATTTAAGAAGTGAATAAACATTTGACGAAAAAAAAAAGAATCAAGAAAAAATAAACATATGAAAGCAATTATAACAGCTTTTATCATCACAATTAAATTTCGGTCAATTATTTTTTTCCGTTTTAGCTGCAAACGCATGGATGAAAACAATCGATTTGTCATCATCGGTAGTTTCACCCTTTGCAGCTGGCTATATTATCAATTCGATCAGTTACCGTTTTGCATGTCTGATATTTGTTGTGTGGAATTTAGTATCAGTATTTATGGAGGCATATATTATCATTAAAGTATATAAAGCTGTTCCAGAACTTGCTACAAGAGAATCATCATTCTCATCTGGTAAATTCATTTATTATTGATTATTTTGGTATGAAAAAAATGAGGCAAAAATTTGGAATTGTTTGATAATATCTCATACTAACATATAATTTAAAGATTGAAATTAAATTTGAAATTAGATTTTTTATGAATCGTTAATTTGAAGATGTTAGCAGTTTGCAACAAGATGGGCCCACTAATTAATCTCGGCGTGAGATACACTATTAATTGAATTTGAGATGACTTGAACGCGCATTCTCATGATTTGAAGTTAGGAGTGCAATTGTATGGGTTATAAGTTATAAACAATATTATTCATATTAGCCGACTCAAAGTAAAAATTATTTTTAGTGAATATTATTGAATTAATACAATGTTCCAAAATCCACGAAATATTAAAATTGAAGTGAAAATTGACTTTGAAATTAAGCATGAAGTTGAAAACGAATAGAATACAAACAATTATTAGTAATGTATTTCTATTCAAATGAAAGATCAGTAAAGTATATAAAATTATCAGTTAAAAATGATTAGCTATTACGAATTAATGATATGATATGATAGATAAAGGAGAGGAAAAAAAAACGAATATTTGATCGATTTCAACTTTTGCTGGATTGAAATATATGATAAGAGAGAGAGAGAGAGAGAGAGAGAGAGAGAGAGAGGGAGGGAGAGAGAGAGAGAGAAAGCTTTAATCAAATATGTCAATGAAAGCAATATGATAATTAGTGGTTGATTAGTAATGATAAGAATCGATTTAATGATTAATTAGTTGCATAAATGTTTTGTTTTTTACTACAATGATTCTTTTTTATTTTTTTCTATTAATTTCCAATTTTACTATGACTAAAATATTTATTTTTATTTTTGTATTATATGTAACATTTTCCAACATTTTCTTATAATTTTTCTGACTAATTAAGGATTTATTGATTGATTAACCAAGCAGTAATTTTTTTTTTTTGAATGATGCAAATAACAATGTGTAATCATTATTTAAAATAATGTGATAAATTTAAATCTTTCAGATGAACAAACAAAAGTTGAATGTTGTAAAAAATGTCCTCATTTCATACAACGTTCAATTTGCAAATGGTTTACATTATTTTATATTTACTATCAACAAAATGTTTTTCCAGCAGCATTTGGTCTAACATTACTATATATGACTATCCTTGGATTTGATGGAGTACTTTTTTATCGAAAAATTTTGACAATTAAAAATATTAATTATAACTTTTTCTTTATTGCCAGATAATTAAAGAATTATTTCAATGTGTTTTAAAAGCTTTTAGATTTGAAGTTGTTAGAAGTTGAAGTTTTATCCATCTGAAAGCATAAAATGGTATAACATTGATAATATTCCATCTATTTCACATCTCTTTTTCTAGTAATTTATTTCTTTTTTTGAAAGATATCTATCGGTTATGCGAAATCACAAGGCTTATCAGCATTATCGCTGGGCATATTAAGAAGTATTGGTGCTGCTTTTGGTATTGTTGGTGCATTGTTGTATTTTCTTATCGAAACTCATTCTTCGGCAAAGAAATCTGGATTCATTGGTTTGACTGTATGTTTTTACAAAGAGTTCTATTCTAATTATGAGTTTTCGGAAGTTTTTTTATTCCGGCTATGATAAATGCAAGAAATTTTTGAAAATTTTATACCGATTATGACAAGTGTACAAAATCTTATTTCAGTTAATAATAAAGTATGCGAAATTTTTTTACGATTATTAATGTATGGGATTTCCAAAAACTACTGATTACTTACATATTCCATTAAACCGTTTCGCTTAATTTGCTTGCTAGCCATTTAATTTCAATTAAGCTCACTAAAATACACCTATATCAAACTGTAGACCATAGCATAAGGAAAAAAAGAATAAAAATTAAACAATCTCGAAATATCAATCAAAACACAGTTGAAAAAATTGAGACTTATTATATACACATTGGAGTAAGGAAAAAGAAACTTTTCTGTCAAACTTTATTATTCTAATATAATTTTCTTCTTTAAGGCACAACATTTGGCCTTATATATTTGTATTGCATCTATTTGGCTACCTGGCTCACCATTTGATCCAATAACATATTCTAAAGAAATAACTTTTGCTGTATGTTTGTTTGATCGATCAATGAGTTTTAGTTAGCTAAATTTATAACAAGCAATCTATGACTACTATCTTTTCTCCCGAACCATCGAGTTCTATAATTCTTTCTTTTGCAGTTAAATTTAAATGACAGATAATTAATTCTCTTCATATTTTACCTTTTTTTTGTGACAAAAATCAGCAGTAATTCTTTTGTTATAGTAACTGAAGTATATAAATTGTTCAACGATGATTTCAGAACTAAACTTTTAAAATTCATCCCCATCTTAGAATTAACTTCTGGAATTTGTTTCCGTTTCATAGTCAAGGTTTCGGAATTGTTGTAGACTTGGTGGCAAAAATTACAAGATAGTTTCACATTTGTCCGTAATAAAAATCAAAGTGAGACGGGATCAAATGATATTGATTGGTCAACATGGACATCAAATGGACATTCCATCATTAGTGTCTTCACACTGCTAATAGGTATAGCGGTAGCAAGATTAGGTAATATATGAAGAGTGAATTTAATTGCATTCATTAAGCCTAACTATAATCATTCAAACTTACTTCTATCAACATTTCTTAATTAACGAATGGCAATTAAAATAGAACCGATTGAATAATTAATATAATGAGCTTTTGCTTTTCTTTTGGTACACAATGTTTAACTCCTTTACCATCGTCAAATAACAGATGAATAACATCGATATCCAATGTAGTTAAAAAAATTTCAAAAAAACTTTCAGTAAAAATGAAAACAATTGGAAAAATTTATGCAATTAACTTTTAGGCTTGTATATGGCAGACTTGTCAATTTCACAAATTATGCAAGAAACAATACCGGAAAAAGAACGAAATACTGTTTTCGGTGTACAAGATTCGATAGCACAAATGTTTAGTGTACTAAAGGTAATTCATTGCTTTCCTTCCAAAAAAAAATACAACAGCCAGGTAATCGAAATATTATTTGAACTTTTGAAGTACTCAAATTATATGTAATGAATAAAATCACTTCAAACATTAGAAAAGCTTTGTCTATAACTGTAACAATTGGAGCACGGTATTCTGAAACGCGGTAATTAATTTCAAATGTAATTAGCAAAAGAAACTGTTATTTAAGCATTACATGATTTCAATATCTTACCTCTTTCCTTTTCTTTAGAGAGATTCATAGCAAGTTAGCACTTTTTCTATTCTATTATCATTTGTTAAATTCGTTATTCTCTCTTTAGGATGTTCTGACCATAATATTGCCGGATCCAAAGACATTTGGCATACTTATCATCATATCCACATTATTTGTATTCAGTGGATTCTTGTGCTTTTGCTACTACCTATTTGCTGTAAATTTTGGTCTAAAATTTGGGATAAACAGAATAACTACCACGTCATCCAAGAGCAAAATAATAAGAAAGCATAATTATGATTTTTACTAGAGTAATGCCTGCATACAAGTTTATGAATGCTAATAGTTGACAAAATTTTCTTCAAAATTTTCTAAATATTCAATATCAGCCAGCTTTTGTCCTAAATGACTGAAATGGAGACTTTTTTAGTTCGACATTAATGTATTAAAGTCATAAAATATGAAATCTTTTCTAGCCAACAGAAAAGTAGGTGATATATATATAGGTGGTTGGTAAATGAGAATGATTCTTGGCTATAGTTCGCGTTTGCAAACTCTTCAGGAAAAAAAAATAAAGACCATAATTATGTCTGCTATTACTTGTAAACAATTCCAGGTTACTGAGAGTAAAAAAGAAAAAGTCAAACTAGACGACGCTGATACAGATGGTAGCCATATTAAAAAGTCTAAAACTACATCGATAAAAACGAACGGGACCACCCAAGAAAATACCCATGGTTTTTCATATATGACAACAACATCTGACACGAACAGGAAAAATTCTCCAACTGCTCGCAGCTAGCAAACTGATTATTTATGATACAGGTATTAAATTTAACAGCAGAGAAGGTCAAAGCAGCAGAAGTATTCCAAAGGAAATGCTTACAAAAATTTGCCAACTAATTTTCATATAGAGTAGTCTTAACTAGACAGTAATTTTCATAACAAAGAAACACTTTCCTGAGGTAGTGCTAAAATAAGATTTACAATTTCTATTACAACTTATTTTTGAAGCTACATATTTATTACTTCATTACGTGGATATCCAGAACAAATATGTAAACACTATCAAAAGATTGAAATTGTTACCAAATATGAAGTGTCAGCAACAATGTATCACAAGAAACTATCAACAGTGTCAATCGCGCTAGCTTACTTTAGTGTAATAGAAATAATGTTTATTTCCTGTTTCGGTCGGCCACTTTTCTCAAACGTCGGCACTTGATTAATTTTTTGTACCACATTGAAACCTTCCGTAACCTGAAAAACAAAAAATAATAGGCAATTTTCAAGTAAACCAATAGGTAGTTTTCAAGTAGCCAATAGTTCACTTTTATTACGGTTATCATTAAACTAAAAGTACTTAATTTTAGCACAAATTAATGGATGCGAAAGACACTAGCTATTTGCAAAACCCTCAACTGAGAAAGTTTTCCTGACAAATTTTCACAGATTGATGTTACGATTTCAATCCACGGCGACTTCCATAAATTGAAATTTCTGTGTTAATGATAGCCGTAATAAAATGACATCATTTTGTAATAAAGTAATAAAAATATTGTAAAATAAAATCAACAATTTTACTCTTGGATCTTTAGAATTTGCTTTAGAAAATTAAAACACTTTGAAATTTTGAAGATTTTTATGCCCATGTGAAATTGCAAGACACAAACCTGTCCAAAAAGAGTATTTTTACCATCTAACCAATCAGCAGGAATAACTGTTATGAAAAACTGAGACCCATTGGTATTCGGGCCTGCATTTGCCATTGAAACCATGTAAGGTTTATCATGCTTCAGTTTGGGATGAAATTCGTCCTCGAAATCTTCACCCCAAATCGACTGACCACCAGTTCCTTTGCCGGTGGGATCACCAGACTAAAAATATCTTTAGTGGGAAAACATATTTATATCAAGTCAATAAAAAGTCGTTAAAAATTAGAGGGAAAAAGTAAAAAAATGGAACGAACAATATGGAAAAGCTCAAAACCATACAGACAACTAATGTAATAAAAGTCTTTTGCAAAAAAATGTAATGCCTTTAAAAAACTTCCGTAATTCAAACTATAAATATCACTTCTTATCGTAAGCTACACTATTAATGACAGCCAAAAGATTCCTTTGAAATTCCTTAATTTCATTACTTAATGATGAAATATGATCACTAACCGAAATTATATGAAATCAAAAAGAATTCCAAGACTACCTGAATCATGAAACTTTTAATTACACGATGGAATGTATGACCGTTGTAGTAACCTCTCCTCGCATGTGTGCAAAAATTTTCCACAGTTTTCGGACATTCATTGGGAAATAATTTTATGTGTATATCACCGAATGAGGTATGTATTATTGCATATTCCGTCACTTTATTATCAACTGTATCACTCTGAAAAGTAGGAATTTAAAAAATTCTGCCTAGAAATAAACTTCTAAAGAGGAGAAAAACAAACAATTGAATTAAGGATTCCGACAAATATCTTAATCCAGTTAACTACATATACCTCTACAGCTGTTATAATGTCCTCTTTCCTGGGTTTTTCATTGAAAACATCTCGTCCCATACCACTACCATCTGCATCATCACTTTCATCCGTTGAAAAAGGCTCTGCATTGGTGAACAAATAGAATCTACCTTTTCGGTATGCACAGGCAACCTAAATAAGGAATTCAATAAAGCATTGTGAGATATCACATTGCATTGTGAGACATGATATTGCAAATAGATTGAAGAAACCTTACCAACATAGGATCAGGCTCAGTTTTCTTCAGATTTGGATTTGCTGCAGCCATTGCATCAATTGTTGCTGCTGCTCCCTAAAGTGGAACAAAAAAGATACTCCATAAATCCAAGCATTTCGTAAGTGCAACTTTTGCTAAATTAACAGAAACTTTTTAAAACTACTACAGTATAAAAATTAAAAAAAAAAATCCAATTATTTAAGGTGACCCATGAAAGTGATTTTGCTCAAGAACAACTTAATCACAGCTTCGAAACAAAAATGACTGATTCAATAAAAAAAATTAATTGAAACCTGTAACTGCTCCTTGAAGTCTGGTACTGCACGGCAAAGCGATACACCCAAAAATCGCATATTCTCATTTTTACCAATTTCACGAACTATTTCATCGGTGTATAAGTTGTAAACCTAGCAGAATATAAGCTATTATGTAAATTCTCTACGACAGATTCTTTTTGATTAAAAAGAATAAGGAAGAAAAATCAGAGAAGACGCACGAAAAGGCTTACTTTAATACCAATCGGTGTGGGATAGATGAGAAAATTACTGGTTTCGTCAAAACAAATCGATAAATGCTGAAAAGCATTTTCATCACGATCCAATTCTTTTTCCAGTGCAACTCGTCGACTCCATTCCATATTTTGCAAGCCGTAGTTTCTGAAAACGGGAATGAATTCTTCCTAGAACATTTACAAAGCTCAGTATTACTATAAAATAACTATGACAAGTTCACTGCTTCTGGAACATTCCCACCATCTTATTTTCTTCTGCATCGCAAAGATTAGATGGTAAGAAATTGATTGTAATTATTGTAAAAAGGAAAAAAAATTTAAAGCTAATATAAAATTTAACCAAAGCTAGTCAACTTAACAAACAAACACATCATAATTTTAAACATTTCGGTCACTCCTTTACCTTCCTCAAAACTTACTTATTAGCTACAGCTTGATCCACATAAGATCGTAATGATTCATCGATGACTTTCATTAACTTCCCAGTAACGAAATCAAATAATCGAATACGCCGATCTGCACCAACTGCAGCAAATGATTTACCATTTGGTGATATTAGCAAACACCGTGGTGGTGCTTTAACCTAAAACTATAAAATCGGTAATTCTAGAACGAAAATTTTAGAAAAATAATAAAAAATATGAAACGACTTTTATACTAATCCACATCTCTTATTGTTTTCTCGACACAATGCATAGCAATCAAACAATTCACAACTACAAACTGTGCTAAAGAGAGGTAAGTTAAGAATCAGTAAGTCAAAGGACATATTTAAGAAATCAGCAAACACGGCAAATAAAATCAGTACAAAATGCAAGAAGTGTATACTAAAATGAAAACAGCTGATCATAAAAGCAAAGATTTTTACTGACTTTAACAAATTCATAAAGATCGGTGTCAGTTTTATATGACCACTTCACGTTATCCGGAAACTGGTATTCGCGCTTCGGACCAGACCAATATTCTAACATTCCCTTCACATCAACGGAAATAGCACAATCAAAATTTGGATTATACTAAAAACATCGAAGCATATGAATATGAAATCTTTTAAGGTTATATTACACATAAAACCCTCCCAAATTAGAATCGATTAGTAAAAGTACTTTCTCCGTTATTTAAAAATTTTCCGAATTCCAGCAAATGATTAAATCAAATACAACTGAAACGGCACACCTCGATAAATTTCACAGGATTAGAATGAATTTTATCTAAAACATGAATTGGTTTATCATCCCCCTTGCCATCATAAATATAGATTTTCCCAGATCCCGAGTCTGATACAGCTAACACCTGTATAACATCGTTTCCTGCAAATAGTAAAAAAAATTCCGAATCTATATCGTGAATATTCAAACAAACAGCAAAAATTTCCTCAGCGATTAATTATTCATAAACTAAGTTGGTCAATATTTGGATCTTCATTATGGATCTATACTTATGACTAAACCAGCACAAAGCAAAAAAAAAATGCTTTTATAAATGAAAGAACTTCAACTCGGAAAAAAGCAACTTAACAATAGTTCAATTAAGGAATTGAACGCATTGAATTATTACTAACCCTGATGTATCCATGCAGCAGCTCTTGGAGCAAATTCAGTACTAAGCATATTGATCATATCGAAATTGGGTATATCAAATATTTTCACTGATTTGTCTTGCAAGCAAAGCGTTGCCATCAATGTTCCATTGTGATTGATCGCCAAGTGGGAAAAAGCATCTGCAAAATACAAACACTCACCTAACTTGGGACATCTGAGGCACATACAACACTAAAACTCAAAGCTATCTCTATCTCACGTTTCGAAATATGTCTAAATAATTACAAAATTAATTAGTTCATTATAGATCTTTAAAATACTCCCATAATCTGAATCCACTTTTGGAAAATGAGATTGATTGCACGACGTATCATTTCACGGGTATGACTGCAAGCAAAACGAAAAATTTGAAGCTAATTTTTCAAAATATTACAATTTTAATGAGTTTGTTAGCTACTTAGTAAAACACAAACTAACGGAGATGGCAGCGAAAGTGCTTGACAAATTCGATTCCTTCACCATGCTTTTTCTTCCAAAATTTTAAATGACCATCCGTACTTGCTGTTATGATGAAATCTGTCCTAAAGAGTTAAATTTTAACCAAACTTAATTACTTAGTTTTGAAGTAATTAATAGATAACATTAATAATGCAATATTTTATTACATACTTCTAATGACAACGAAAAAAGGTATTATAAAATCGGGTAGTACAGGAAAAATTGAAATAAATTGAACTGAAATTCAGAGGAAAAAATGTAGAAAATAAACATACGCAGTTCCGATAACATGAGTTACAGTGTCTCGATGCATGAACGATTTCTCGTATTGTGTTGCATGTGGTATTGAACGCAGATATGTTTCTTCGTAAGGTAATACTGTAATTTGCATGATATATTTAGTATTTGCTACAAAAAAAAGGCTGCTTTGAAATTCAACTCAAAAACGTATCGGCAAGGGCAAATAAAGTAACGTGTATATAAAAAAATATATTAATAATATTAATAATAACTAATAGTAGCAACAATGATAACAATTAATAATTGGCAACAATAGTAATAATTAAACATAGTGTAATAATTAGTTATAATAGTGGTAATAATAAGAACAATAGTAGTAATATAATTCCTCTGCATTCACATTTCTCTCTCAACTGACAACGGATAAGGTTAGAAATGGATTTTTATTGATAGATAGATGATAATCTAAAAACTACAGCGTAACACTTACCTCTATTCTTTTTTAATGCAGAAGTGCCTTCATTCCCATCATCGGCATGTGAATTTGTCATATTCACTGATGTCTCCACTTTCCGTTTCAACATTCTGATACAAACAAATCTTTACGCTATTCACATCATGCTTATATCTACACTATTCATTACATCCGCAGTAGCAATTAATCAGAATTGTTTATCAGATTCAATTATATTTAATCATAATTAATAGCCTATTACTTCATACATTTCATTATTAATAATGCGGTGCAGATGAGCTATTGCAAACTTTAAACATCTATTTCGAACTATTCCCGTTTGTGACTTTAATATGATATACTTAATCTTTTGTAAATATGTGAATTGTATTTCTGAACTTTTCAAAAAATGATCTTTCAGATTTCATAACGTTACATCACGTATATGATTTTAATTGTTTAGATTTCATCGTAATTCATGCTAATTTTCCAAAACTCTGTTCCAAAAGACACCAACGAAACAATCATTGGAACTCCCAACTACCAATAAACAAATTTAAAAAAAATTAAAAATGTTTCGCATTTTGAACTCGAACCCTGCTATGGTGTATGTTCCGCAGCATGAGCGACTCTTTCGACAACTATATGGCGCCTGTACACCCGGCGCTGGGTTTAAACTATCTTCAGACCAAGATCGCTGCAGTAAAATTGCATCTTTGTAGCTCACCTGTAACACTTTCACTTTCACATATCCAGTGGTGCCACGCATATCCCAAGGTACAGATTCTTTTCAAAACATTCCGCTTCATGTATAGAATAGTAAGGAGCTGAATATTCCCATGAATGCAGTATTCTGCATAGTAAAGAGCTGAAATATCCTGCTGTACATGCAAAGTAAAGCTAAGTAATTCATAATTTTTTGCAAAGAAAAAGAAAAAAGCAATGAATTCATATTTACGATTTTTTCTTATTTGTATTTCCAACCTGATGTATTGACTTATTCAAATTTCTGAAATGTACTTTGAAACTTTGAACTTTGAAACTCAGTTCTGCTAACTAAAGTATAAAAATTTCAGGAAAAATTGAATCCACAACCTCTTGGTAGTAAGTATTCTCTACTTGCTTAGCCAACAATTTGAGTATGAATGCAGTTAATATTTTTGGTTCCTAGATAGTCACTTATTGATTGATTTTTTTCTTTTCCTCCCAATTTTATTTTATAGATAAATTAATGTTCCAGATGTATAATTATGATCACAGCGGATAATTCGTTCCAACCTAATGTTTTACGCAACCATTCGCTCAGCGGATATAAATATAAAAACAATACAAAAGTCACATTCATCTTATATTTTGTCTGCTATCATTTTTGCGTCATAATGAGATCAAACTTTGTCAATAAACTGTACAAGTTAACAAAATATACACGTAGCAATTACAGTCTCAATTTGAAATTCGAAGAAAAAAAATATTTTTCATGCTCCTTTCGTATTTTCTAAGCAACAGGTGTTGCCGTTGTTATTCCGGAGACAAAGGTTGTTAAGATTTATCAAATGAAGATTGTCTAAAGCCCAAGAAAGTACAGCACTATTTATACAAGTGGTAGAATAAAATATAAATAAGCACAAATATATATGACAGAATTGAACATTTACGATAACATCCCAAATAGCTTATCCTTCTATAAGAAAATTATTTAAATCAATCCTATCCATAATTTGTCCTAGTTCTTTTTCTTTGAAATCTGCAAGACTATTTAGGCAGTCGCTAAATTTTGTTGAGCAACCTTTCACTATGTCACGCACCGAGAGAAACATCGTCACACCATCGATAATAACCCCAATTCCAATGGCACCACGTGCAACGCCTCGCATCAGTGAACTTCCAATCTGCGTCTGTAATATTTCTTAAATACTTTTAAGAATAATCCCAAGAAGTTTAATCTAATGCATGAGTCACAGTACTGGTTAATATTCAACATACTAATACATTATTCTGAAAAACTGCTTATATTCCATTTCATAACTGGCAAATTTACTTCATTTTTCTGCTCTGAGCCAATATCTAATAATTGTGAAGAATTTTCAGACTTGAACATGGAATAATTACAAATATTGATTAGACGTTAAAAAAGAAAAGTTATTACTTGAATTCCAACACTTCGTAAGCCTAAAGCGGTTGCACTTTTCGCACCTCCAGCGCCAATTTGTAGTCCCAGTGATGGCAGGTCATTTGTTGCGGTATCCATGGTTTGAGTCCTATCAGATCGTTCATTTGTTTCAAACTAAAAGAGAAAGAAAATTTGACTAAAAGAATATAATGAGAAAATAGATTAAATGAAGAAAAATAGGATGGAAAAACCCCACTATTTATTGAAAGCGAAAAATTATTGTAAAGAAAGTATGGCTCACAAAAGTGGAAATTTTCAAAGAATCCAACCAAATCTGAAATATTTTCAGAATGTTTATTATTTTTGTCTGTATGCAGGCAACCAACCAACCAAGTCAGAATTCAATGCATCCTGATAAATATCTTCAATATCGCGCATCAGTTCGATGTCGTATTTTGACAATGATTCTACCTTCTTGATCATACTTCGAAAAATCATGAACTCAGTTAACTGCGTTCCCAAATTTGAAGCTGTAGCAAGTCCAGCAACAACCAATCCTAAACATAGAAGTTTTGAAGCTAGTTCACATGCTAAACATTGATAGTTCCAACACTGTGATCTATTCACTACTACTCAAGCATGAGTTTCATTGTATAATTTGATAAATTTGAAAAAAAAAACCTCCGAGAAGTAACGGTGGATATACAACAGTTCCAGCAATCGCTGCAGCACCACCACCAATACCAATTGAACTTCCAGTAATTGTAGAAATGGTACAACCTTTTTTAACACATATCGACTGTAAAAAATAATTTCAATTGAAAATCACTGTAAAAAGCAAAAAGCTGAAGCAGCTGCTAGGAATAGACTAATCATATTTGATCTACTAGCACACGATAAGGGTATTTCTTCCCCAATTTAAATTGATAAAGTAGTAACTTTGGAGTCATAAATACTAATCTCATTTCCTCATTATGATATTTTTCGCCTTAATTCTTAGTAGGGTACTAAAAGCATTAATAATTCAGAACTTTCATACAAATTCTGTCATAGTGAATTTAAATTGAATGGTTTCTCTTTTTGCAGCATCATAACTCATGATACCACAGTGAACTGAAATATCAAATAAAACTATGTACTTTAAACTACATTTCATTTCATCATTATATAAATCATTAAGTTCTACACACCTTATCTGCAATATTCCTCAATTCATTGATTAAATTCTGCCGGTTTTCAACGAATGCTTTATAGATGCTATAAAAATTTCTTCGTAAATCAGATTTCTTCATGCCATCATTTCGCATAGGAATATCTTTAACGAAAAACTGAAACAGATATTATCCTGCTAAATTAGTATATAACAAATTAATTTTAAACTGAACAGCTGTCACTAATAATTAACATATATTTTTGGATAGGTAAAAAGTGAGAAAATAACGTGCAAGGAAATGCATTTAGTTTTAGTCACATTGTTATGTTCTGATCATTCTACGAAAGGAACAGTCTGGTCATTGCATAATAAGAACAATTTAGTTATTTTATAAAAGGGACACTCTGATCCTCTCGTAAATTTTTTAAATAAATATAGAACTATTACCCATCACTTCGTAAAGCAGCCTCTATTTACAATTAACAAAACAATTTATAAAAAGGAAAATAATGACGACAACAATAGCAATAGTAAAAATAATAATAAACAACAATAACAATAATAATTCTAACCAAGTGATTTAATTCTTCGTCATATTCGGGAGGTACAATTGCCGATGACGATTGCTTACCCATAGCACAAACGTATCACAGACACCGAGTACAACAAGCAGACAAGATATTTCGCGATAGCTAATTAAAATAGCCGAAATTGTTACTATGAGCTGGGCAAATGGGACAAGATGAAATTCTGAAATCTCAACAGAATCATTGCTTGAGTTGTTGGCAAGGATAACCTTATAACTTTTATCACTTTTGAAGTAGTGAGTATATTTAAGTAATTCATAAAACAGAAACATACGTTATCTTTCACGTGGCCTGATTTGGTCGTGAAATTGAAGAAGTCTGTGAATCTACGCTGAAGAATAGCTTCCAAACTGATAATACTTTTACCAATTTAATTTGCATAATTATTGAATTGTATAAAAATAAGATAAGTTAAAAATAAAAAGGCATTTCTTTGGGTGCTTCTATCAAGATTGGTGTGACTCATTTGTTTGTTAAATTTATTAATTAGCAAGAGGAAAAGTTTGAAGGGTGTAAGTGGTCTTGTCTCATAATTCAAGTTTATAATCTAATTACAACTTTTTATATTTTCTACTATTATTTATCTTCAATTTATCATTAAAAAAATGAAACAATGAATTATTATAGTATTGTATATAAAATTTTGTGAAAAAAATTTTGATTATAATTTATAATGTAAAAAATTGAAATGAAATTTGTAAAATTTTAGAAAAAGCAAAATTTTAATCTGTCAATAATTTATTGTAAAAAGAAATAATTTTTGATTTAGAAGAAAAAGAAAGAAGTGATGGGCGATGATTATGAAATTTTGGATCCAATTAAACCTGAGGCAAAGCAAAATGAGGATGCTCCTTCAACAGTTATATCCAGCATAAAACAGCCTGCTCCTGATGTTGCCACTGGCCTAGAGAGTAAGAACAAGAAAAAAGGCGGAGGTATTTTTGGGTGGAAACATAAAAATGATGAAAAAGTGAGTAATAAAAGAATTAATTAACAGTGAAAGATTGATTGAGGAATGATTAGATAGATCAAGTGATAAAAAAAATGATAGAATAATCGATACAATTATTGGAATAGATAAATAATATTAAATATATATATTTTTTAATTAAATATATATATATTTTTCATTTTTCAATAAAAATTTATCAAAAATGAAATTATTGAAATTCTGCTTATAATAATTAAAAATTTTTGTTTCTTTTTGAAATTGATATGTATTAAAAATAGAGAAAGAGGGAAAAATTAAAAAAAATACTTGAAAATAAAGTGCACAAAATATGCTAAACAAAAAACCTTTAAAACTTAGTAAAATTCTCTCTTTCTCTCTCTCTCTCTCTCTCTCTCTCTCTCATTTCAGGAACAAAAACAAAAAGATGGCGGTGATGGATCTGAATATGTTTATGGTAATTTCTAAAATGTAGTCTTTATTTATAAAGATGTTTGTAGTAATTTCTAAACAAAATGAAATATCTTATTATGTATGATAAGCACTATTCAATTACTCTTTGTAATAGTAATAAAGGTACATGCATCGTCATGAAGAATGAATTCATCTTCGTTGTTAGTTATGATCAGGACGATTTTTACTGATCTGAATCTCAGGATGATTCATTGATCGGAACCTCAGAAAGATTTGTTGATTTAAACGTTAAGGTGATTTGCGATCTAAACGAAAACTTGTTTTAATCCTCTTTCTAATGCTTTTTTGAAATAATGAGGTTAAATGAGTTCGATATTTTTAATCATTGCAATCAATAATTTCACAATTAGTCATTTGGAAATAAATAGTAAGTAAAAAAATGTATATATTTATTTATTTACTTATTCCGAATTTTCCTGAAATCTATGATAAATTCTACGTGGAAAGAAAAATTTGGAATAATTTTGAATCACTTCCGTCCCCTTCACAGCGCAAATTCAAATTTCTGTTTTTCTAATTTTAATTTTAGCTTTAAAATTTAATTTAGAATATGAAAGTGCAAGAGCATCAATAAGACGAGCATTTCTTATTGCAACTGGATCAGGATTTCTGATATGCATCGTTTATTCAGCATTAGGAATTATTTATCTCCTTTGTTTGTTTCATTTTATTTTATTCATAATTATTTCTTATGCTAATTATAACGTTCTATGCTGAGAAAAAAAACCTTTATATCTAAGGTTTCCGAGCAGTTTCTCCACTTAGCCACATTTATTGATTATTTTTCTTAAAATATTTACATCTGACAGCCGACATGTGTTGCCAATTTTTTGCTTACTTCGATAAACTTAATCATACAAACGTTTACAATTCAGGTAATTCTAATTATAACGTTTAGAAACAAAAACTATTGCAAAAGTTTTCCTTTAATAATTAGTCTGATATAATTTTATTCAAATATATTATTTAATCTGAATTTTATCAATTATTTTTAATAGAGAAATTATGAATGATTTATGAAAAATTGATATGAGAAATGATTAAATAAATTATAGTTTTAAATTATAGCGTAGAGATAAGCTTACAATGAAAGATATAAACAAATAATTTTGTTTGTTTATTTATTGATTTATTATTATTATTATTTTTTATTTTCAGACAACAAACAATTTAATTTCAAATTCAATTAAACAAAAAATAATCAACTGTCTTTATGGGAATTTATTTCGATTGAGATAATTTGTAAATATATGTTATGTGCTTGCTTCATTGTTGATTTGTTGTGCTTTTTCTTTAACATACTTATATTTAAATGATAAGAGCGAGTAAAATATTCTTTTGTAAGTAAAAATTTATAAAATAATTTTAAAATAGCTATAAGATATATTATAATAGTAATAATAATGAATATTGAATAAGAGATTTTAAAAAAAAGTTCGATTAAAAATCATAGCAATATCGTTTTAATATTTTTCGAAATCAGATATTTAACTTTATTTCTTACTCACTTATTGCTTTTTTGGAATTGTTTAACGCTAATTAATTAAGTTTATCAGTTTGAGTTTTAATTCTTTAAAGTTGATTTAAATATCATTTTTAGCTCATATATAGTTGTGATAATTCCGCTTTATTTTATCATTCTTATCAGATTTTAATCATGTCAGCAAAGCCTATGGCTATGTTTCATTTGATTTCATGTGTGTGATCGACCTAGTTATAATAGTTATAATATGATCGAAGCAATTTTTTAGAATTTTAGAATGAGATAATGGATTGAGCATTGAATTAAACGAAAACGAAGCATTTCATCAAATTGACCTATAACCCTATAAAATATGATAATTCAATGCTCAGCGAATAATTTTAGGCAAAAGTGGATGCTCTTTTACAAATGGAAAAATATTATCATCTAGCTGACTGATATAACACAATAAATTAAGTATCAAATTAAATGAAACATTTTATCATATCAACCTTTTGACCCATATAATTGTGATATAAATATTATTTAATGATGCATTAATAATCGTATATTATTAGTGATAAAATTTCATTTAACACACTCTTCCTAACAAACTATCGATGTGAAAGTGATTGAAAATTAACATTGGAAAATTTTAAGAGAAAATTGATTAATTCACATATTTATTTACCTTTTTTGATATGTGAGAAGATATTTAAAATGTGTGAAATTTGTTTAAAAAAGGATTGATTATGATGAAAAATTGATGAAAATGCAGCAGAAGTGAAATAAAATTACATTCAATAATATCAATATTTAATTTAATTTATTAAACTTAAATTTACATTTTGATAGGTTTATACTATGATACTGTAAATGAAAACGATGAATTTCTTTGTATGAAATGATAAATAAAGTTGAAGGCTCTCATGTTAGATTACTAATAGTAAAATGAGGAATAAGTCTGAGATATTCTAAAATCAGAATCATCTGGTTTCATCATCAGTCATCAACAGTGTGAATCACCTATCCTATAAGATTCATTAAAATTAATCAATTAACTTAAATTTAAATCTAAAAAAAACAGTGTTTGAAATCAATTACTTATTTCATATATCACGTAATGAGAAGAAAATTATTCAAAATAAAATTTATTATTTATTATTCATTTATGAGATATGACATTATTCTTTGGAACTTAATTATTCTAATTGGTGAAATTGGAATTAAAAAGCTCAAAATCAAAAGTCTTTTAGGTGCTACAAACCTTTGAACCCAAAAAGAAGGACTCTAATTAGATGATCAAATTGGAATTCAAACTTAAAAACAAAAGGAAAGTTTATTACTCCTTCATGTCTTAGGAAATTTCTAAATTCAATTTAAATACTTTTTCATTTAGCTTTTCACATTCACTCAATATTTTCAGTTTATAATAAATGATTCTTATAATGCGCCAAGTAATAACAATTCATCTGAATTGTAAAGGTCAACAACCGACAATATTTAGTTTGAAGGACAAAGGTCACTTTTATTTCTTTACATCTCTTCTCTCCTCTATTCTTACTTCTTTTTTCATCTTCTCGTCCACTTTTTGGTCATTTAAAGATGCAGCAGAAGTGGACAACAGTGAATATTCTCTCCCATCCTTCACCATCTGTTATGATTAATAACGATTTTGAATGACCTCGTGTCAATAACTTCCTCTTTTCATTTAATGTTAACCTTCTGAGTGGTCCACTCTTAAGGTCAGTTCAAGGTCAATCATTTATCCTCTCTGTTCAACCAACATTCATTAACAAAATATACTAGGGTAGTTGCTTAGAAGAAGAAGAAGGGAAATGAAAGTAAAAGGAAAGGAAGTTTTAAATGAATCGATTCACCTATTCTAATTACAATATTAATTACTTTATTGATTCAACTTCTTCTTGACAAATTTTTTCAAATATGAATTTCAGCTATTAATTTGATTTCTATCACGGATATTTTTTGTTGTTGTATTATTCGGTGATAATAGTGATTTATCACAAAATGTGTTATTAAATTTGATAGCATTTTATTTCTCGAAGCATTAAATAAAAGTTATTAATGAATTCAAACAAGGGAAAATATTTTCAGAACAATCTTTGAGAAATGTTCATCTATTTCCAAATATTCGTAATTATTACTATCATTGGACGACTTACTGCCAAACCAACCGATGAAGGCTCGACAACGTCAAAAAATGAAAATCAGGTAAATTTTTCAAATGTAATTAAAAATTTTCAATCATATCATTAAAAATAATGAGCGAATAAAAATAAGATGAAAATTTCTGTCCAAAATCATTATCATGAAATGTATTATTTGATGATAATAGTGATTATTATGAAATGTATTATTTGGTGATAATAAAAAACAAGGAGAAATAATTAGCAAAAATAAATAAACAAATAGAATGATAACAGATTTTGATGAGAATAAATATAAAGAATAATTTTAAAATACTAACAAATATTTTAGAGAATTGAGAAAAGAAAAAAGTAAAATTCAAATTCTTTTTTTATTTTATAATTGTATTTAATTTAAAAGAAATTATTATTATATATTAGTAAATAGTTAAGAGTGTAAGTTTAATTTCTGAAAATATTTTAGCTATTATGCTTAATTTGTCAAGACAAGCAACAAGAAACTAGTAACGATGTTGGCGAGGGTAGAATGGGAATTTCAACATTACTTCAATATGACCAAGCTATGGTTGGTGTTGGTATATTTTAAATTTCATTTAAAAAAAGACAATTCGTTAAAGTATTCTCACATTATGTAATATAGCTTTCGGGAAATAATTGCACAATTAAATTTTATTAATAATCAAAGAATTATAATATATAATTGAATTACTGCTAATCATTCATTCTTTCAATATAATTGATCGATGTTTAGTTAAATGTAACAAAATGATAAGTATTTCAGGGAATTGATAATCTTAATGAAATTGAAAGGGGAATTTTATTGATTAACTCAACAGCATGGTTGTACAATCCAAGCGATCCAAAAGAATGGAAAGATGAAGTAGCAAAGGTTTGTAATTTTTAATTAAAATTTTTATTCATTATAAATAAATGAGGAGCTCATATTTAAAGTAAATTCCACAACAGATGACAAATACTGAAATATAACAGAATGTTTAAAAGTTTTATGGGAATTAGAAAATCATCCTTTGAGTATAAATGAAAAAAAAAGGAGGAAATAATAAATATAATCATGAATTCCATTTTTTTCATGATAACCGATAAGATAATACCGGATGATTCTTGATAAGGATAAAGATACCGATATAATTCCCGCAAAATACCAAAATGATTTTCATGAAATGCCGGAAATTCCGTTTTTTTTTTCTTGAGAAGGGAAGCGAATATGGGAAGAGATAATCGAAATGATTGCTATGAAATACCGGAATGATAAATGGAAATATTTGTAGTTTAAAGATGTTTATGAAACGCTTACATCGGACGAAGTAAACAAACAATTGGAAGCATTGAAAGTAAAAGGGAATGCTTTTACAACAGAAAGAGATGCGAACAAACAAAATGCTTTGAAGAAATGGCACAATTTGCCAATCGCTCGACTTCGAATTGGCAAAATTGAAGAAAACATTTTGAATGGTGACAGTGGTGAAAATATCAACGCACTTCAACGCATTGACAAAATCCGAAATTTAATCAGTGAGGTGAAATATTAATAGAAATAATGCAATCTTCTTATTGAATCATTCGGTAGTAATTAATTAATTAATTAATTAATTAATCCTTTCACAATTTGCTAAACATTTATTGGTTTAATGAATAATTTGAACAAAAAAAGGCAAAATAATAGTAGGAATAAGCAAAATATTAATCGAATATTATTTTCTTATTGCTCAATTAATATTGCATAGTTTGGTAGTAATTAATTAATTCTTTAATAATTTGTTGAATATTTGTAGCGTCTCGTTTTTATCATTGATAACAGAGATAGCGTTTTGTAAAGAGCTTTTAAGATGAAATGAATTTGATTTTTTAATGCTTTCTCTTAATTTTTCATCCAAAACTCATTTCTTTTTTTAAAAAAGATTATTTTAAATAATCAAAATTGGAAGAAAGGAAATAATTAGATGAGATGAATAATATCAATGATTATTTTTTAGAATTTTAAAATAGTTCTGATAATTTAGGTTTCATTGGTTCTTCAAGAAGTTTACAATTACTACAAACGAATGGACGATGAATTATCTGAAAGTTACAATATTTTGTCGGATATTGAAGTTAAACTTAATATAAAACGTGAAAAAGAAGGAAAAGTTCGACGTTCCAATTGCATTTGGATTTTCTGTTATTAATTTATTGCAATGAATGAAATAAGCAAAACTTTAATTTCAAAATATATTATCTAACAGTGATTTTATGAATACTATTTAATTCAATTAAAATTAAGTTTTTTTATATGTACGATTTATTATTATTATTATTATCATTATTATTATTATTATTGCAAATATACGTCTTATATTTAAATTTTCCAATAAAAACAAATTCATAATAATTCCTTCTTATTTATATTCTTACTCATTCCTTTTCAAAATTTTTTATCATTTTTAGAAAAAAATCTAAAAATGATAAAAAAGATTATCAGTATGTTATTGTTATTAAATTAAATATTCAAAATGATCTACTCCTTTTAATTTCATTTATTTCCTTATTTTTTCATTCAAAAAAGTTTTCTTTTCATTTATTCAAAATTATCATTTAATCATTAAATGCTTATCTTCACTTCTCAATACTGAATATGATAAATGAACTATTTACATTAACATCGATTAGCGTATTCATTGATTTAAAAATTTCAACAAGCCTATGTTATTGTAATTTTAGTATCAAATTGACTTTTATTTATTATTATGTCTAATAAGTAAACGATAATATTCAACAATGTCGAACATTTCAGATTACATTATCGTTACGCATATATCACCCATTTTCTTTTCCTTTTTCTCTCTTTTTTATTGGTAAAAATAAAATTTAAAAATAATTTTTCACATAAAACTTCTCATTAATTTATTTGTTTTACTTGTGCTCTAATTGATAAAAGTAATAAAATTTTTGGAATAAATTGTTAGAAATCACCGCCGACACATATCGATTTTTGATAAAAATTTGAACAATGAAATGTGAACATATTTTAAAATATCATATGAGAATGAAAGAATAAACAAAAAGATTAATCTGAAATTTTAAAATGTTTTCGTCGTAATTTTAAATGCTATTTTTTAAGTTCCAATGTTAACAACCTATAGTAAATAATTTGTTTGAATTTCAACAATTTATTGGGAGAATATACAGCTTTCATAGATTCTTTAATTGTTTTAACGAATATTTTCCGGTATTATAATCATCAATTTTGGGCAAATTTGTTGTCAAATTAAAATGATATTTGATAAAGTTTTAGAAAATATTCAATGAAAAATATCACGCTAATTATTTTTAAAAATTAAACTAAAAATTATATCAAATATGTTCTCCCATTTGCATGTAATGAATAAATTTTAACCTAAGGTCATTTAAAGTAATAATACGTCTAGTAGACGTAATATATACGTAATATCTTCTTGAATATCAAAAATAAATCATAATTTGAAAATAAAATTTATACAATTATTGCGCAAACTGTTTATCGTTAATCTAAAATTGCTCATAAATAACGATGGATTATTCTTAAATTCTAAAATTTTACCATGATATGATTGATGATCAATTGATTAATTGCGATAATGATAATGACTATAATAAATTTTAAGTAATTAAATTCTGTGATATTGTATGAAAATTTCTGTATAGAAATACAATTACAAAAATATAACACAAAAATGAGAGAAGAAAAGAAACATATATTTAACAAAATAATTAAAATTTAAAAAATTTGAAGAAAAAGAAAATTGCTATTATACAAACATATTTCTTATATCAAACCAAAAATGAAATTGTGCAATGAAAAAGAAAGAATTAATTTATTTTATATTTTATTTTTCTTTTTTAATTATTCGCTGCAAAATTTAATCAAATATTTTTGTTAATTAAAATTATAAACAAAGAAACAAAATAATAATTATCATTTCAATTAATTAACTCCAAATTTAACAAACTTTACAAAAACAAAAATGAAAAAGTCAAATAAATTGCAAAAAAAAATAAAAAGGCAAAATTTCATTGCAATTCTTTTTCTCTTTATGCTAAATATTCCCTAAATATTTGAATAACAAAAAAGAGAAAGAATTTCTTTCAATTAATATTTGCAAAGGTTTAAAGCTAATTAATTGAAGAAATAAAAAGAACTGTCAACAAAGAAGAAATAAATAATGAAATAAATTTTATAATCTAAAAGGACAAATCAATACTCAAACAAAACAAATAAATAATTATCATACAAAGAGAAAGGCAAATGTAAACATCGATCAGAAGCAATGTTACTTAATTTAATTGGATCAATACTTCTATCTATCAATCAATAATACCATCTTTAAATATAGCAAACTTATTTTTTACAATTCTTTCCCATATTATTGTAAATAGGTAATTATAATATGAAATTTGGCTAATAATATCTATTATTTCTTTATATGAATGTATTTTAACTCAAAAAACGAAATGTTTTAATTGTAATAATGAAATGTAAATTTTGAATTGGAAAAGTTAAACTGTTTGTTTATCTTTTAAATGTAAATTTTGAACTAGAAATGTTAGATTGTTTCCATGAATATCTATAATTAGGCTAATATTATTGTAAATAGTGATTATTGATCCTATAAAATATGATATTTTCACAACTAATCAATCAATATTATGATTGTGGTGGAATGAAACGGAAAATATTCCAATCAGCTGACCAATAATTGTAAAGCTTTGTTGTGAAATTCTCTTTTATACTAAGCGCTGATCCGTCGTATGGTAATTTCGGATGTTCTTTTGAGGAAAGCGCTATATCATCGGGTAATGATTGTGAAGTGCATCGCTCCTATAATTTTATTTAATAAAATTTTTTCTTCTTTTTGAATAAATTTAAAAAAGTTAAAAATTAAAAATTTTCAATACAAAAATTTAATTTCACATCAGTAATTTTTAAATTACAAAAAAAAACGCACATTTCGAAAATAATTATAAATTTATATCGTAAAATTTATTAAACTTAAAAATAAACCGATAATTTCAATTTAATCGCAAATTTAATAACAGTAATATATTCGTAATTCAATTTCTTTTCTTATCATTTCAAAAAATAAATACTCAAAACAATTAAGAGAATCAATGATAAATGATAACTACCTGATCGAGAAAGAATCAATGACAAATGATAACTACCTGATCGATAAAGAATCAACGATAAATGATAACTACCTGATCGAGAAAGAATCAATGACAAATGATAACTACCTGATCGATAAAGAATCAACGATAAATGATAACTACCTGATCGAGAAAGAATCGATGACAAATGGTAATTACCTGATCGAGAAACCGTCAGCTGCTACTATCTGATGATTCCTTTTCATCTTTCTCTTTAATTTCCAAAATTTCGGGATGTAATTCAATAACCCGCATTAATATACCATTAATATAATTTCTTAATTTTTGGTTGCATATTTCTTGCTCTTTTAATGCATTCATTAACTAAAATTATACAACAATTATCTTTCTTTTTTTTTAAATTAATAAGTATTATTATTTAAATTTTCATTAAATTTTACTTAATTGTTTAAAAAAAAAACAAAAGATAAGAGATAATAACCTCAGTAGAATCTTTGCCGCTTAATTCTTCAGCTAACGATGGTTTTGGATCATCGTCAAAATTTTTGAGCAAATTTTGACCAGCTTTAATGGAATCATGAATCAACTGCGCTTGTAAATCTTCATTTTGTCGTCTTAATTCTTTGTTTTCCTTTCGATATCGATTCATTTCATTTTCTAACGATACGATCTTAAATCGTTTACGAATGAAAAATTGTAAATTGTACTAATAAGAAAAAAGTTCTTAACAAAGGCAAAATTTTTGCCTTTTATTTCTCAGCAAAATACTTTAATTAACTAAATTTACATTACTTCAAAGAAAATTCCATTTATTAATTACTTATATAAATTATATAAATGTATTGTTTTAATAATTTATACTTTTAATTTTTAATTTTTTAAATGAAATAAAACAGAATTAGGGATGATTAACTGTGAAATAGCCTTGCAAATAATCAAAACATAACACATACATGCATTTGCAACAGGCGTGAGATATTCCAGCTCTGTCATCTACATAACTTTAGTAGTACTCGATTTACATTTAAATTTTATGATTAGATTAATTAAATAATAAATATTTACTATGAAAAAAAAATAAAAGCAAATATTGCTAAGAAAAATGTCGAAAAAATAAATAAACAAATTACGGTAAATCTCTACCTGTTCAGTAACTGATGCTCTTGGCAAAGTTTCATTTTTTTGTCGTCTTAATTCATCTGTTTGTCGTGAAAGTTCTTCTACTAATTCTGAACTACTATCAATATCTTGTTGTGCTTCTTCACGATACCTATTATTAAATAATACAGTAATCCAAATATTAAACAGTAAAAAAGAAAAGATAATGAAAGCTAAAATTATTTCATTTATTTTATTCTTATCGTATATTTTTATATTAACAATAAATTATTTATAAATATGTCTAAATTATACTTCCATTCTTTAATTTTACTTATTCGGTTTTCAATAATAATTTTAACTATTGTTGTATTGAGGATAATCTCTCAGATTGATTTCAGTTTTTTGTGTATCGGAGAAGTGAGTTGCATTATCTTTCTTATGTCCATATGATTGGTCATTCTTTTTTTAAAAGGTTGCTGTTTATGCAAATATGTTATTTGATTTTTATTAATCTTGATCATCAGGATTAACGGGGTTTTTCTCATTTATGATGTTTTTGCATCGTGTTGATTCAATTTCAAATTTTTTTCTGTTATTAGTTTGTGTGACTTCTTACTTATTAGGCCTATTATTTGCTGGGCTTATTATTTGCTAGGCTTATTATTTATTAGAAATTATTGTAGAAAGAAATATTTTATTTCTTCTTTTTATTATGATGATTCCTTTAATTTTTTTTATTATTGTTATCGTACATTATATTTATTTTGTATGAATTCTTTACATTTCGATAATGTCAGATTTTCTAATTAGTTATTTTATTGTTCTTATTTTATTTTCTTTTTCTTGAGATCAATTAATAAAAATTATCATTAGCAACTATTAATGTATTTTATGTTATGATAATTTTTGTTATAATTTATGCATTTGACAATTTCATTCA